GAATTTGTTGAGGTCTGATTTGTGGCCTAGTATGTGGTCAGTTTTGGAGAATGTTCCATGGGCTGATGAGAAGAATGTATATTCAGCTTTATTTGGATAGAATGTTCTGTAGATGTCTGTTAGACCCATTTGTTCTAGAGCTCTGTTTAAGTCCATTATTTCTTTGCTTATTTTCTGTTTGGAAGATCTGTCCAGTCAGTGGGGTATTGAAATACCCAGTTACTATGGCATTACCGTTTATCACGCTGTTTAGATCAAACAGCATTTGCTTTATGTACTGGGTGCTCCTGAGTTGGGTGCATAAATATTAAGAATTGTTAAATCTTGTTGGACTTTTCCTTTCACCATTATATAGTGGCCATCTTTGTCCTTTCTTACTTTTGCTATTTTAAAGCTTGTTATCTGAAATAAGTATAGCTATCCCTGCTTTCTTTTGGCTTCCATTTGCCTGGAAGATTGTTTTCCATCCCTGAAAGCATCTTTGTGGTTTAGATGTGTTTCCTGTAGACAGCAGATACTAGGCTTGTGAAATTTTATCTACTCTGCCAGTCTATGTCTCTTTAGAGGACAACTCAATTCATTCACATTTATTGAGAGGATTGATGTTTGGGGTAAATTTCCATTCATATTGTTGCGTGAATTCCTATTGCTTTGTTTTACTCCTTAAGCCATCATGGAATCTAGGTTCTAGACTTTAACTCTTGAGTGATTTTACTTTGGTGAGTGTCTATTGTGCTGTTCAGTGTGTAATGTAGGTCTGAGTATTTCCTGTAGGGCAGGTCTGGTCTTCACAAATTCCATCAGTGATTGCTTGTCTGGGAAAGTCTTTATTTCTTCCTCATAGATGAAGCTTACTTTTGCTGGGTAGAGAATTCTAGGTTGGCCATTCTTCTGTTTTAGAAGATTGAGGATAGGTGCCTAGTCCCTTCTGACTTGTAAAGTTTCAGTTGAGAAGTCTGCAGTTAGTCTGATAGGTTTTCCTTTGTAGCTTATCTGCTTTTTTCATCTTACTGCTTAAAGGATTGCTTCTTTTGTGTTTACTTTGGTCAGCCTAATAACTACATGGCATGGTGATTGGGTGATTGCCTTTTCACATTGAGTCTCCCAGGAGTTGTGTGTGCTTGTTTCTGGATATCTAGATTTCTGGCCAGGAATAGTTTCCTCTAGTGCTCCATGAAATAAATTTTCCAGCCCTTGTGTATTTTCTTCTTCTCTGTCTGGGATGCCTATGATTCTTATATTTGGTTTCTTTACATAATCCCACATTTCTTATATCTTTTGTTCTTGACTCTAGTTTCTGTGTTCTTTTTCTTCATCCAATTTGTTTTAGCACATAGGCATTATCTTCAAGCTCTGAGATTCTTTCCTCTGCGTGATCCATTCTATTCTTGAGGCTTTCCATTGTGTTTTGTAGTTCTCTAAATGCGTCTTTCATTTCCAGAATTTGTTTTTTTTTTTTTTTTTGTAGTATTTTATTCTTGTGGCTTCTTTACATTGGCTTTCTATTGTCTCTTCAATTCCATTGAGTTTTCTTATAATCCATATTTGGAATTCTTCCTCTGTCAATTTAATTGTATTGTGTAAATTGGTATCCATTGATAGAGATTGAATGTTTTCTTTTGGGGGTGACATTTCTCTCTGATCTTTCATGTTTCCTGCATTCTTTCGCTTATTCTTTCTCATCAGGCTGCTTTGTCGAGAACTGGGGTGCTGGGGCTGGTTTATGGCCTTATCTCCAAGTCACCAAAGGGACGTTCATTAACAGTGCCGGGGAGAAGTGTGCTGGTCCTGTATTGCCTTAGAGGTGTTTTAGACAGTTGAGTTACCTCTTGCCTGTTGTCTTCACCTCTTGCCAAAGCAGTTAGTGAGTTTGGATCCCTTGCTTAAGCTCCCAGGTGGTGAATCACTCTTATGTGAGTGACTCTGCTGTCCTCCAGTAGTTTGAGATGGAAGGTACTGTGTTGAGGTTAACTTCTCTGTTGTTGCTTGTAGTTTGTGTGGAGGAGCTAATTATCAAGGTATTCTGATGCCTTTGTGTTGGGCTCTGATTCCCTGAATGGGGTATATGAATGCCCTGATCTTTGGGAAATGTCTTGTCACTCCCAAGGGTTACTTGAGACCTGTTCCCACTTTAGGTGGGGTAAGGGAAACTGGTGCTTGCAAGCCTGAGAGCATATTCTTCTGTGGTTGCTTGATTTGCTGCTAGGGGAGAGCTGCCCATATGTTATTCAGGGCTCTTTCACTACAGGCAGCTCATGGTAGGGGGTGTCAATTGGTGCAATTGCTGAGGACTCTGGCCAGGATTTTTCTTCCCAGTCCACAGACTCCAAAGCTGGCAGTGCCCAGCCGCCAAGGTTATGTTCTTATCAGATTATCAAAGCCAGCCTGCTAGACTCAATCAACAGGCTGCTCCCAACTGCTTAGTTCTAAGGTCCCGTAGATTCACACCAATTGCACAGAGAAAGCAACTTTTCTCCCTTCTACCTGTCTCTGAGGGTGGGGCCTGCCCTGCTGGGCTGGGGAAGGGGAGGTGCCCACAATTGCAACTTGCCACAGCATTTCCTGGCTGTGGACCCACCAAATGGTGGCTGTCCATCCATGGAGAGCCAACACTGGGGCGACTGCTCGGGGGTTTAGCAGGTTATCTCAATGAGCTGCCAGCTGCCCCCACTGCTTCCCTGTCCTGCTGTCTCGTGTCAATCCAATAGAGGGTCCTGCACTCTCCCACCCTAAGCCAGCCTTATCTTCGGTAGTTTCCAGGGGCAGAGCCTCCCTTTTGGTGTTCACCTCCTTTGTTCCGGTCGCACTGACCGCCAGAGGTGAGGTACCTGTCTTCATACTCCCTCCTGTAGACCTGGGAAGTGTTAACTCAGACTGGTCCCTCCCTCGCCCAGTGCTGACCTAGTACAGAGCACCAGGGAATTCAAAACATTTTCCGCTGTTGTCTCTTCACATAGCCTGTCATCCTATGCCACAACTTTGCATTGACTTCAGGTACTTCCCTGGCTGAGTAGATGTGGAGGTCGGTGGAGAACCTGTAGGTCAGATTACACTGCCCTGGCCAGTGTGCGTGGCTGTCCCATGCTCTATTCCCTATTGTATATCTTGCACTCTATAGTCTAGACTTGTGGTCGATTCTCCAGTTCACCTCTTTCTTTCCCAGGGCTGCTTATCCTGCATTGCTTCTCTGCAGATTCACAATGCTGTTCTTGGGGGAGAGAGCGATCCACTCGTGTGTAGTGGCCCGTGTTCTTCACCTCCCAATCTGGGAACAGAGAGCCAGGAGGTCACCTCTGATCTGCCTTTTTTCCCCCCCTGACGGAAATGGCTTCTTTAGCTTCAATGAACCAGCCTCTGCTGCTATCTTCATAACTTTTCTTATGCAGCTTTCTCACTTCTCAGCCTTCATAGAATTGAAAAGAGTTAGAGTCTTTCTCTGGATTAGGCTTTGACTTAAGGGAATGTTATGGTTGATTTGATCTATCCAGACTACTAAAACTTTCTCCGTATCAGCAATAAGGATTTTTCACTTTCTGAACATTTATGTTTTCACTGGAGTAGCATTTTTAACTTCCTTCAAGAACTTTTCCTTTGCAGACATAACTTAGCTAACTTTTGGTATAAGAGGCCTACCTTTCAGCCGTTTTTGACATGCCTTCCTCACTAAACTTAATCATTTCTAGCTTTTGATTGAAAGTGAGAGATATGCAACTCTTCCTTTCACTTGAACACTTAGAGGCTGTTGTAGAGTTATCAATTGGCCTGATTTTTATATTATGTCTCAGAAAATAAGGAGGCCCAAGGAGGAGGAGAGATATAAGGGAATGGCAAGTCTGTGGAGCAGTGATAACACACACATTTATTAAGTTTGCAGATTTATCTGGGTATAGTTCATGGTGCCCCCAAATAATTACTCCTAACTGAAATTTTGTGTCCTCTGATCAACATCTCCCCTACCCTCAGCCTCTGGTTACCACTGTTTTACTGTGTTTCTATGAAGGAAAACATTATTTAAAGGTCTTAGAATTCAGGACACATTTTGGTTAAGATTGAAGGCCATTTAATGGTACTTTAGAAAACAGTCCAGTTATAACTAGATTGTTCATTTTATTCATTGCAAAATTCTGTAGCAAAGTCAAGTTTCTGTTATTTTTGAATAGAACCATTCTACCTTCTTATGCTGTTTCGGCAATAGCAGCTCATCTTGGACTTGATATTCTGATGGTGTATAAATCATAATGCATAAATCAATCTTATATATACTCAGTTTTTCACCTTTTGATCCTTCACTATTTTGAGATATTTGAATTTCTTAGTGATATCAAAGTACTAGCCAGAATCATGGTAAAATTTAGAAGTACATGTTTTTGGATTTGCCCCTGAATCTTCAAAAATCTTTCATATTTAGGTATAGGTTCTGTAATTCCCTTTTAATAGTGAATCACAACTGTTACTAGAGCATGCTTGGCTTTGTTTAGTTCTAAAAATGTTAAAGAATGGAATATAAGATATGAATTATGCTTGTATGTAATGGCTCTACTTAAATATACCACAGGTTATGAATTTACCAAGTAACTACTATCTTTCAAAGTAGTCATCTCAGGAAATTGTTCTAACTCCATGAGTGCTACCATAAATATTACTGGCATTCACTCAATTGCCTTTAAGAAGTTTCCCAAATGTATATAAAAATAAGTAAATTATTTTTAGTCACAATCTTTCAACTTTTACGTCCTATCTTTTCCCCTACATCTATTCCTTTCCTTTGTCCCTTATGGAGTTGTGCATCCTTACAGAGACTTAGTACTTGATAGATACAGGTAATGCTAGGGAGAAGGACCGTTCAGGGTGGAAGGTGAGCATAAGACCAGAATCTAATTTATGGCTTTTAATCAGGTGTGTGTTAGTTCTGCACTCCATGAGTGACTTAACAGGCTTTTAGAAGCAATTCTGTAAAACCTAGAAAAGTACGAACTTTCCTTCTCCACTGCCATAATTACCTTTTGATTTGGCTGATTCATCATAAACAAAATCATCTGTTGAGCTCCTAGCTAGGCACACTTCCAGGAACTATAGGGAATACAAAAAAGTATATAAGCAGGTTTTAGAGGACCAGGGCAATTAATCTCCTTAACTTCAGAATTGCCTAATGGAACATTAAAACACAAAACAAGCAAATATGACCTAGAACTAACCCTGGAGAATTTTGATTCAGTAGGTTACATGTAGTTTCAGGAAACTGTATTTTTAAAAAAGCCCCACAAGTGATTCAGATATATATCTTGACTGATAATCTTAGGACAGGAGATGGACCCTAAATAGACTATATTACGAGGCTCACTTGTGTAATCTTTGCTGTTATTAAAAGTGCTATAAGCAGTATCTAGAAAGTACAGATGCTCCTTGATTTATGATGAGTTTATCATAAGTCAAAAACATCTTGTGTGGAAAATGCATTAAATACCTGATAAACCCATTGTAAAGTCTGAAAATTGTAAGTTGAACCACTGTAAATTGAGGACTGTCTATATCACATACAGAGCCATTGAATAATAAAGTATTAGGCCCTAAAAGTTTTATTTCATTGTATCCTTTTGAATCACTGGACTTAAGAAACTTTTCCCCCCTCTTATTGTACTGAATACTTTAACTTTCCATTTTAATTTATTTGTATAGGATCCTGCTGGCCATTTTCATCAAGTATGGTATGATAATCCTCGGAGCATTTCTTTAAAGGCAGCATATATACAAAACTATGGCTTACGGGGCATTGGCATGTGGAATGCAAACTGTCTTGACTACTCTGGAGATGCTGTAGCCAAACAACAAACTGAAGAAATGTGGAATGCCTTAAAGTTAAAGCTGTGACAGAGATGAACATCTTTTGTCAGACTATTAAGATTTAGAAAAATGATCTGTATAAATAGATCTAGTTTCTTAAAGAAATAAAAATGTAAATTTTAGTCATTGCTATACACTTTAGTTATTAGTATACTAAAAAAGAAAGAAATGCTTTCATTGTTTGAATTTGAAAAATACATATTTATATCTTTAGTATCCAGGAACATAAAGGCAAGAAACAAGTCAACTTACTCTATTAGCCTCTGTGAGATTTTTCAATACTATAATTAGGAAAAACTGCTTTCAGAATTTTATTATGCCAAATTTTTCCCCACTATATTAATAAAATATACACTTACAAATCAATGTTGAGTTTAAAGATATGAAATGGAAACTGTTTGCTTAGGATATTTAAAAACCTAGCCTTTGAGAAGCAGTTTGTGCTACACCTTTTTTTCCCACCATGAATCTTAAATTTAAAACCTGCAATTGAGTGTCTCCTTTTTTAGGTTCATCAGACTGATGAAAATAATTTTTCTGCTTCCTGACTCCATGTGGTACTCATGTCTCTGAGGTACTTGAACTAAACCTCCAGTTAGTGGGGAAAAAATATAGAAGATTAAATGTATTCCCCAAAATATAACTTTTAATATTTTGAATTAATAAGTTAGAGCTACCTAATGTTTTCCAATTATTTTATGAGTCTTATCTGTTATATTTTTTACAATAGGAATAACTTGATTCTATTCACTGTCATTTACACTTTTAGTTCATCATTTATAGACATACAGAATTTATTTCTTGGCTAGTTTTCTTTTCATGGTTAAGATTTTCCTTTTCTACATCTGCATTATAATTCTAATTATCTAAAGACACTGATTAGCTTCTCAACTAGTTCCTCTTTCTAAAAGATGAATTTTATGCAAAGAACTTTTCTAAAGGTAATGAAATATCTGTTCTCAAGACAATTAAGAACAACATTGTGCTGCCCTTATTAGTTCCTATGAATACACAGATTAAAACTCTGCATCCTTGAACTCTGTATTTACATAAATCGTGCCTTCCCTGCACATTCCCTCCCCAAGTTGGAATAATGATTCAACCAGCTGTTATAAGAATATTACATTTCCTATTTACACAATTGTTTATGACAGAGTAAAATCAACCATTAACATAGTTATGTGTTGAATCACTATTGTCTTTATGTTTTAAAATAAATGAATAAAAATATTTAAATTCTTAGATACTACTCTCTGCCATAGCTCTAGAGGTAAGTTCAATATCCCTGTTCTTTCATATTTCCAGATTTCTTTTAATTAAGATATAATGAACAAATTATGTTTCTATTTTTATGCAGACATATTAGTATTTATTAAAACATTTTTTCTTTGTAATTAGATTTTAGTCATATTAACTCTTAAATTTTAAGATATTAAAAATGAAAATTATAAAATATAACATTGAAAAATAGGTAATACTTAAAATTGTAAAAAATAACCAGTCACCATTTTGCTTTATATTACATCTAGTATGTCTTGAAACACTTTAATACCTACATAAAAAGTGAAGAAAGGTAAACCTTATGATTTGTTAAACATTAGCAAGGAGAACAGTGGTTAAAGAAATCTCAGATAAATATTTAAGGTTTTCAACAATAAAACTTTTAAATTAACATACCTAATTGAGGTCGTAGAGATGTATTAATTTTCTTCTGTGCCAGTTCAGCTTTCAATGTTCGTAAGTCTGAAACTGCTTGTTTTCTCATCTATGAAAAGAATTACTTTTCAAAAATGAACTTTATCTTACCCTTCTAAAGGTATTTAATTGCCATGTAAATAAGGTTTTTGTAACTGCTTTAACTGTTTTCTCTCATTTGCCTTCAGTGCCTTCCTTACCACTGGATTACTACAGTAAATATGTAGATCATAAATCCTTATTTACTGCTAGATATGCAATAATTTCCTTTATTAGTATATAGTAACGATACCATTGAACTGTTCAAAAACTAGAGTGAGAAGGAATTTTATTTTTTTCTTAAGCTTCAAAATGTGTTCTCGATGTGTAAATACTATTTTAAAAAAACCCAAAATACAACCCCCCCCCAAAAAAAACAAACCTCAATTCCTAGCCCTCACAACTGAAGAGATATTTAAGCAGTATAATAGTGTTTACTCTGTGGCAAGCACTCTTCTTAGTGTATTAGCCCTTTTGATTTTCTCAAAAACAAAACAAAAACGTTTATGGCAGTTACTATTACAGTATTTATCCCCATTTTACAGTTGAGGAAGCTGAGACCCCCTAGAGGCTAGGTAACTTGCTCAAGGTATAAAGTAGTAAGTAGAATAGCTAAGATTCAAACTCAAACCATCTGGCACCAGAGCCCTTGCTATTCCCAGAATTGTCTGTGGACCAGCAGCATGAGCATCAACTGGGAGCTTGTTAGGAACAAAGAATGTCAGGCTTCACCCAAACCTATTAAGTCAGTTCCTGCATTTTTTAACAGGATCCCCAGATGACAATTCGTTAAACTCTGAGAAGCACTACTTATGCTATACTGTCTCGAATAAATGTGGTTGCAACCTACTCAGGCTAGGTTTTCTGCCCCTTAATTCTGAATCTTATAGGTAGAACTATTTTGGGTAGATCATTCAGAAATAAATACTTATTATAATGTCTGTATGTGCCAGTCAGGCACTATGGTTAAATACAGAATTTTTTTCCCGGTCTGTAAGCTAAAAATTTTATTCTCTTTTTTCTCATTAGTCTTTACTGTTTTTGTACTAACAATTCTAATTTGGGTTCAAACCATAGGTAATATAAGGTTAAAATATACAAAGATGGTAGGATATAATGTGCATACTCTCCAGAAGAAAAGACCATGAGGGTATCATAATTAAAGGCTCTGGGGCATTTTTATTACTTCTTTCTACCCTCTCAATTTTCCATATTGCCTTCTTCTCCACGTATTGAATACACACAGTTTTCCTCCATTGGACCAACTATTTTGCAAATGCATACTGTGTAAGAATGTTTAACTGGGTTGGGCACAGTGGCTCATGCCTGTAATCCCAGCACTTTGGAAGCCTGAGGCTGGAGGATCCCTTGAGGCCAGGAGTTGAAGACCAGACTGGGCAACACAGTGAGACCCCATCTCTACAAAAAATTTAAAAACTAGCCAGGAGTGGTGGTACACACCTGTAGTCTTAGCTTCCGAGGAGTATTGCTTGAGCCCAGAAGTTTGAGGTTACAGTGTGCTACGATTGAGCCACTGCTCTCCAGCCTGGGTAATTGAATGAGACCCTGTCTCAAAAAAAGAAAAAAAAATCCTTTGTCCTTTTCCTTCTCTGTATTTTCAGTTTTAAGCTTCTCAGTATTGACACAGGGATTAGCCTTAAGAATGCTGCTAGTGAAAAGAATCTTGAACTGCACTGTCCAATGTAGTAGCCAGTTGCTATATATAGCTATTAAAGTAACTGAAATGAAATACAACTTAAAATTCAGTTCCTCAGTCACACAAATTACATTTCAAGTGCCCAATATCCATAGGTGGCTGGCTAGTAGTAGCTAACATATCAGAAAGTGCAGATATAGAACATTACTATTGTCACAGAAAGTTCTACTGGACAGTGCTATTAATAATTCTAGAAAGTGGTCATTATTCTGTGCCATATAGCTGTTTCTGATAAAGAGATGAATTGAAAGCATTGAAATCATTCATATAATTATTTTCCTGTCCTGTATGGATACTTGTGTACAAATATATTATCCTCTTCTGTTCAACAAAAGAGCTTTTGAAGACATCTTTACTTTAGAGATAATTCCTATAATATGACTAATTATTCACAATTCTTATCAAATAAAGTATGCCTGTTCATAATTCTTATCAAATAAAGTATACCCAGAAGCCTCTCTAAGCATCTACTACACAAAAGGTCTTATGGCAGAAACAAAGTTAACTAAGGCACAGTTTCTGCCCTGAGGGAAACTACATCTAGTAGAAGACTCAAGATTCATAATTTAAAAACCAATAGACTATATATGAAAATAACCAGAGAATGAAATAATTACCCAGGAAAGTGGGAAAAATTAAATAGGAGCTCAGAGGACAGCTCAGTGTTTTGTGAGACTTATTTATGAATAACTTTTAATACAGGAATACTTCTTTTAAATATTATTTTGAGACTATATTGACTCACAAAGTTCTTTTCCTTTAATTGTTCTTAGTGAAATTTTACTTTGGCTTTGTTATAATATGCATCTTTTCACAGGATTTAGTTTCTCTTCTTGCATTTTTTTCTTTTATACTCTTCATTATTAAGATAACAATTTTAAGACAGTCAATCCTGAATACCCTTTGGAAACCAAAAGTTAAAACACTAAAATATTTTATGTGAAGATAATTGTATAATCCGACTAGAAGAAATATAAATTACCTTAACTTCTATTATGAGTTTCATTTTGTCAGTATCCAGTTTTCTCTTAAGTTGGTCAATTGCATGCTGTACCTCAGTGATCTGGATTATTAAATAATTCTGTATGAAATATGTGAAGATATATTTACTTAGTATAACATCCATACATGTTTGTTTTTAACTGCCTTTCAAACCTAAACTATGAAGTGATAACAAATATCAAGAGAGCAAATCATGAAAATAACCTATTCCATAAAATAAACATACTGCTTTATTACCATTACTATTACCTTTGTCGGTTTCTTGCATTTTGGGGACCACTTTCTCTTCTATTCTACTACCATTGTTTATTTACTATTGTAAAGAATATTTATAAAAGTTACCATTAAAGTAGCGCCATAAAAACTAACTATTACTATGAAAGGAATAAGCTAGGTTTAAGGTATTAGTAAGACTTTAGAATTGGTATAATGCTTTGTTAGCCAAATCAGATTAGAATTATTTTAAAACATTTGATAATACTATATTTTATATAAGAAAACCTACTTAATATAAGAAAACATTTAAAATAAAAAGACTTTGGTTACTTTTGTCTAGAAAAATGTATGAGGTATGGTGGTCCTTGCTAAAGAAGTTATTTAAGAATTAAATTGCCTTTGTGAAAAAAATTCTCATTGAACTCAAGAAAACACTAAGATAAACTATCAGCTATGCAAAAAAAAAGTATCAACTAATATGCATAACCCAACACTTGAGCCTATTTGGATTTTATATTAAAAGTATCTAAAATAGTAAACTTTTAATATTTCATCTTGTCTAATGTTAAATACTTAGTCCTAATCATAATTAATATATTTTAAAATTGTTTCTGAATGAGTAGGATCAATCCAACAAAAATCAAATTTTTAAATGGCCTATGGAATTTGTTTGCTGTTTCATTATTAATGTGTGGTAGAATGACAATAATAAAATAAACTTCACATCTCTGATCTAAGATTTAAGACTATCTCAAGAAAAATGCATTGATTAAAATTTCATATAATTTCATAATTTCTTTAGAATATCAATACTTTTAAATTCCATGGGTGTTATAACCCTCTCCTCCCCTCCCACTTACATAAAAGGACTGTAGTGGACACTGTAAGTGTCCCCTGCCCTACTTCATCAGGTATTCATCTTTTTCTTATAGAGTCAGGAACTATGACTCCATCCTAGGAACAGAGGTAGATCCTAATTAGTCTACGTTGGTCAGCACATAGCATTCCTTGGCAACTATTTATGATCCAGGGATAGGTCTGGTTGATCCCTCACCAGGCTAAAGGGAAAGATTTATATATTCCATGATTCAGGGAAAGGTTTGTTTCTCTTGTTTTGGAGATAAATAGCCCTACTTGCTATTGGCAACTCTATTGCTACCATTAGAAAAAGCAGTCTCATAATCTTAACAATCTTCAGTCTTATAATGAAGTCAACACTAAAAATAACAGGAAATAGCAGATACACCAAGGCCCTTAAAGGCATCATTAAGCTGCTGACTGTATCTCCTCAGCAACCCTCCTCTCATTACATGAGGTCATGAATTTTCTTAGAGTGTAAGCAAGTAAGTTCAAGTTAAAATTAGCCCAAAGTATCCTAACTATGATAATACTTGCAATTATAAAGCATGTTTTTTGAATGGAACTTTTCCAACAGAAGGTAGACACATTTAATAGTACCTTAGAGTCTGTGATGTTTGCCAGATTCTTTGGTCTCATCTTGATCTCCCTGGCTTCAAGCTGCATGAGCAATTTTTTATAATAAAGTTCCAAATCTTCTCGAAGTTTTGTTAAAACCTCCTCCAATGATGCTGTAACTTTCTTTGTTTCAAAATATTTTTTCTTCCAACCATCAGAGGCTTGTAAAAAAAAAGCAAATCCGTAGTTTGAGTATTATTAAAGGATTAAACTTTTCAACCTGGAAAGGATTACAGAGTTAATGTCAATTTAAACTATTTTCCTCCTCTTCTCCTTTTATATGCTGAGGACTTTAGAGCTAAGGGAGAGATGCTTGTTAGATAATGAAAGAACTTGCCTAGAAATATAGTAAAATAATAATAAATACAGCAACCCCAACCAAGTTCTCCTTAAAACATAGTTTTAAGCTTCTGAAAAATCTTTATTTTAAACCTACTGCCTATACATAGACACACACACACACACATATATATTCATTTTGATTACTTGAATTCATGGATTAATTTTCCATGATTTTATTTAAAATACTTACATAATTAAAACTATTAAAGTAAAAGACATGGTCTATTTTAATGATTTTTCCTTATTTTTATAGCCCTCATAATGACTTATTTTGTGATACAAGCTAATTTTGATTTATGATTTATCAAAATTATGCCGAATATTTCCCCAAAATTCTGTAGGATAAAGTATCTCAAATCTAAGACTCTTTAATTACATTATCAAAGAAATGAACACCCCCAATTTAAAAATTTTACATTATAAGCTGATTTGATTAAAATTATATAGCTGTATAGAACTTTAGCTCAAGATTTTAGCTATTTATTTCCCTTATGCTCTGTTATTCAATCCCTCAGCAACTTCTATTGGTACTGCTATGAAAATACTTCTAGCAATACTTTTGAAGAAACCTGCATTGTCTTTCTAACTGGTCTGTCTGCTTCCATTTTTGCTCCTCTACAAGCTATTCCATACAGGAGTCATGATGTTTCTAAAATATTTTTTAAGTCATGTAAATCCCTAGATTAAAATCCTCCAATAATTTCCCACCTTACTTAAAATAAAATTCAAACTCCTTGACTTGGTCTATCTGCTCCTTGCTGACCTTTTGTGATTTTATCTCCCTATACATCCCTCTGTATTTACCATGCTCCAGCAACACTGGCCTCATTTCAGGCCCTTAATATCACAAGGTCATTTTTCTCTCCAGAACTTGATATTTAGTGTTCCTTTTGTTCAGACTTTCCCCCTCTTTATGTGCCTAACTCCTTATTAATAAAAGCTTAATATCTCCTCAGAGATGCTTTCCCTAAAAACTCTAGCTAAAGCAACTCTCCCTTGACCCATCATTTTCTACTATGTTCTTTTTAACTGACTTCTCAGCTCTGATCGGTAGCTAATAACTGTCTTACTTAATTATTGCCTGTCTCCTTCCATTAGTATACAAGCTCCTTAAGGGGGGGGGGGTTATGTCTATCTTGTTCATTATTGTCTCCCTAGCATTTAAAACAGGCCTGATACATAGTAGGTTCAATAAATATTCAATGGCTAATAAATACCTTTTATCTTGAAATAGTGATTGATAAGTCCCATTTTATAAACAGAAAGAGTGAGGCAGAAGAAGAAATAACTTTTCTAAGTAAAAGATAGATTTGGTTAGAATCTAGGTCCTGTGATTTTTAGTCCATTGTTCAAATTTGTCTGATAAAATTGCTTCTCTCTGAACACTACAACAATGCTGAGTCATCGTCACCACTTCCGAGATACCACTTTAACATTATGAGGCATAATCATCAGAAATATCTCCTGATGTTGCCTATAAAACCTCAGTTGTAGTACTGAAACAATTTTGCTATAAATTGAGAATCCTAAAACCAGTTACTTCTAAATATACCTTTCATCCTTGCAATCCTCAAACACAACCCAAAATGCAGGTTTCCCACATCATTTAACATCTCTCAAGCCATTATACACTTTCTTCACTTTCTTCCTGGCTCATCTTTCCATTTCTACCAGTCTTAACAACACTGTTTCTAATCCTATTGCAACAAAACAACTTACTTTTCTTAATTTCCCTCATTCATTCACTTAAGCAAGGCAGACAGACACACATACTAAAAAATGAAGTTCCTAGGATAGTCCAAGATACTCAAAGAAGGCTTCTAGAGTAAGTGATATCTAAGCTTATCTTGAATGATTAGTAGGAAATAGCCAGGTGAACTAGGAAGAGGGTAGGAGGAAAAGGTAGGAAGAGAAGAAGTAGATAGCAGAGGAAAAAGCATGCCTGAAAGAGAGACAAGAAGCATGCTTCAGATCCTAGCATATCCAACGCTTCTCCTGGAAGCCTCTCTTGATCTCTTCCATCTAATTTAGGTTCTTCCTTTGTATTTCTATCCATAGAATTCTGTAATTCTTTTATAATAGGATTCATCAGGATGTATCATTAATGCTTAACTTACCATTTCCCCACTGGACTGTAAGATCTGTGAGGGCAAAGGCATGACTGTGTTTGCCTAACAGCCCCTAGAACAGAAGCTGGATTCAATAGGCACTTAATAAATACTTATATAATAAATAAATAGAAGAATGAATAAACAAAAAAATGAATTTTAGCTATAAAAATATGAGTGTTAATTTTAAAAGCCTTTGTAAAGCATTTATTATATAAAATAGAATTGAAAAATGATTTCATATTTTCTATACTGAACTTACCTCAATCATGTATCACTTAAACTATAATAGTAAAACAGCAACTATTAATTACAACTTTATTGTTTATTCCAAAAGTATCAATTCTGTAAAACTTAAGTTTGCTTTATAGTGATAAAAGGTATGTAATAAAATTTACCCTGATAACGCTTCACTTTGCTTTGTTCAAATAGCTTTTCAACTTTTTTTATTAGTTCTTCTCTAATTCTTTCCAGATATCTTCTTTCTTCCTTTACTTGTTTCATTTGTTGGATAATCTTCTCTCCTGAATAGATTATATCCCAGATTCATCAATGTCTAAAAGCTGAAAGATGGTTTATAACCTAAAATATGGAGTGTAAAACTTAAAAGTGTCTAAAACAGCAAGAATAAATTTTACCCGAAACTATTTTTCTTGCTGCAATATAGCATTTACCACTATGGAAAATGCAGAGGATTCATTTCAGTTTCCAAGAGTGATATATAAGGGGATTTATAAAATACTGTGTCTTTTCTGACTTTCCATATATGTGTAGAAACTAAGTAAACTTCAATTAATTAATCTTTGGTAAATTGATCTTGGATCCAAAGTTACTACAGTTAAATCTTACATGGAAAATGTATAATTTAGAGAGAAGGGGGGGGAGGGAAAGAGAGCGTGTGTGCGCGCGTGTGTGCCCGTGTGTGTGTGCCCGTGTGTGTGTGTCCGTGTGTGTATGTATATTAATTTTTTTTGAGACAGGGTCTTACTTCATTTCCTGGGCTAGAGAACAATGGCATCATCATGCCTCATTGTAACCTCAAACTCCTGGGCTCAAGTGATCCTTTTGCCTCAGCCTCCTTTAGCTGGGACTACAGGTGTGTGTCACCACATCTGGCTAATTGTTCTATTTTTTGTAGAGATGAAGTCTTGCTAAATTGCTCAGGCCCAAACTCCTGGCCTTAAGTGATCCTCCCACCTTGGCCTCTCAAAGTATTGGGATTATAGGTGTGAGCCACCACACCCAGACTAGATTATATTTTTAAAAATTAAATAATATTACTGATTAAATATATGTAGTAATCAACATAAAATCCATGTAATTTAACTTTTTAATTATGGTAAAATATATATAACAAAATTTACCATTTTTAAATGTACAGTTCATTGGCATAAAGCACATTCATATTATTTTGCAACCATCACCACCATCCATCTTCAGAACTTTTTTATCTTCTAAAACTAAAACTCTATACCAATTAAATAATAACTCCCCTTTAACATTCTTTAACTTCACCTCATAGAATCATCTGTATTTAAAAATATCATCATACTTACTTTCCATCTGTAATAAAGGGATATCAGTTATTCCCGGAGGAAGAACAGATTGACAAGGATATGAAGGAAAATCAATAAGATCTGGTAGGATGGTATATTGTTTTTCACCTGTCTGTAAGCAAAACATAAAAATTAGTAATATCTGGTACGGTGACACATGCTTTTTCACTTGTCTATAAGCATTTGATAATGCATTTCAGCCATGCATTTTTTAACTTATATGATGATAAACTTCCACTTTTCTATTTGTAACAACAGATTCTTTCTAATGCTCCAGTCTCTCCATTCCACTACTGGATGTGGAATCATCATTCCACTATATGATGTCCACTGGACATCATGCACAGGCACTTCAAACTTAAAAAAAAAGAATTCATTATTTTTCTTTCCAAATAGGACTTCTTTCCTAGAAACAAGATTTCTAGTCTCAGTTACTTGTTATGGTAACTTTAAAATTCTTCCAGGATGGTTATTCATCTTGAGTCAATTTTGATAATTTATATTTGCTTAGAAAATTGGTGATTATATCACATTTTCAAAATTTTAGCACAGAAGTTTACATTTAATTCTAATATATCTTATCTCCTGTATGTTTGTGTTTTTATTTTTATTTATTAAATTTTTTTGAGACAGGGTCTCCCTCTGTCACCCTAGCTAGAGTGCAGTAGTGTCATCATAGCTCACAGCAACCTGAAACTCCTGAGCTCAAGTAATCCTCCTGCCTCAGACTCCCAAGTAGATGGGACGACAGGCCTGCACCACCATGCCCTGCTAACTTTTTCTAGTTTTTGTAAAGATGGGGCCTCACTCTTGCTCAGGCTGGTCTTGAACTCCTGACCCCTCAAGCAATCCTCCTGCCTTGGTCGGATACCATGGAAATACAAAATATCATCTTTGAATACTATACAAATCTATATGCACATAAACTTGCAAATATGGAGGAAATGGATACATTCTTAGAAATACACAACCTCCTCAGGCTTAATCAGGAAGAAATAGAATTCTTGAATTGACTAATATCAAATAATGAAATTAAAACAGTAATAAAACATCTTCCAACAAAATAAAATTCCCAGACCAGATGGTTTCACACCCTAATTTACCAGATCTACAAAGGACTTGTACCTATCCTGCAAAAATTATTCCATAAAAATGAGAAGGAAAGAATCCTCTTCAACAAAATTTATGCAGCCAACATCATCTTGATACCAAAGCCAGGAAAGAACTCAACAAAAAAAGAAAACTACAGACCATTATCCTTCATAAATATAGATGCCAAAATCCTAGCAAACTGAATTCAGCTGCTCATCAAAAAAATGACCAATCATTAACAAGTCGGTTTCATCTCAGAGATGCAGGAATGGTTCAACATACATAAATCTATAAATGCAATTTGCCACATAAACAGATGCAAAAACAAAGACCATATAATCCTCTCAACAGATGCTGAAAAAGCATCTGACAAAATTCAGCACCCTTTTATGATAAGAATGCTTAACAAAATAAGCATAGATGGGACCTACCTCAAAATGATAAAAGCCATATATGACAAACCCACAGCCAACATCATAATGAGGAAAAATTGAAATTATTCCCACTTAGAACTGGAACCAGACAATGTTGCCCACTATCACCACTTCTATTCAACATAGTGCTGGAAGCCTAGTCAGAGCAATCAGACAAGAGAAGGAAATCAAGGGCATCCAAGTGGGGAAAGAAGAGGTGAAATTATCACTCCATGCACAATATGATCTTTTTTTTTTTTTTTTTTTTGAGACAGAGTCTCAGTGCCGTGGCGTCAGCCTAGCTCACAGCAACCTCAAACTCCTGGGCTCGAGTGATCCTTCTGCCTCAGCCTCCCGGGTAGCTGGGACTACAGGCATGTGCCACCATGCCCGGCTAATTTTTTATATATATATCAGTTGGCCAATTAATTTCTTTCTATTTATAGTAGAGACAGGGTCTCGCTCTTGCTCAGGCTGATTTCGAACTCCTGACCTTGAGCAATCCGCCCGCCTCGGCCTCCCAAGAGCTAGGATTACAGGCGTGAGCCACAGCGCCCGGCCACAATATGATCTTATATCTAGAAAACCCCAAAGATTCTGCCAGGAGATTACTAGAATTGATAAATATATTCTGCAAAATCTCAGGTTACAAATTCAATGTACACAAATCAGTAGCTTTCACATACACAAATAACAGTCAAGCTGAGAACCAAATCAAAGACTCAATACTTTTCAAAATAGCAACAAAGGAAATAAATTACCTAGGAATACATTTGACTAAGGAGGTTAAAGACCTCTACAGGGAGAACTATGAAACACTGAGGAAGGAAATAGCAGAGAACAGAAACTAATAGAAAAACATACCATGCTCCTGGATCGGTAGAATCAACATTGTTAAAATGGCTATACTACCTAACATGATCTACAGATTCAATGTAATTCCTAATAAAATACCAATATTTTTCACAGACTTAGAAAAAATAATTCTATACTTCATATGGAACCAGAGAAGACTGTGTATAGGCAAAACAATCTTAAGCAAAAAGAACAAATTGGGAAGCATCAATTTACTAGACTTGAAGCTATTCTACAAGGCTATACTAACCAAAATAACATGGTACTGGCACAAGAACAGAGACATAGACCAATGGAACAGAACAGAGAGTCCAGATATAAAATTATCCACATATTGCCAGCTGATTTTTGAAAAGCAAACAAAAACATACGCCAGGGAAAAGAATCCCTATTCAATAAATGGTGCTGGAACAATGGGATAGCCACATGTAGAAGACTAAAACAGGATCTGCACCTCTCACCGCTAACAAAAATCAATTCACAATGGATAACAGACTTAAATGTAAGGCATAAACATTCGAATTCTAGAAGAAAATGTTGGAAAAACTCTTACAGACATTGGCCTAGGGAAAGAATTCATGAAGAAGACCCCAAAGACAATCACAGCAACAATAAAAATAAATAAATGGGACCTGATCAAATTAAAAAGCTTCTGCACAGCCAAGGAAACTATCATGAGAGCAAACAGAAAACCTACAGAATGCAAGAACATATTCACATGCTACACATCTGATAAAGGACTGCTAACTAGAATCTATTCAGAATTCAAGCAAATCAGCAAGAAAAAATCTAACAACCCCATTACAATTGGGCAAAAGACATGAAGAGAAGCTTTTCAAAAGAAGATAGGCTAATGGCCAACAAACATATGAAAAAATGCTCAACATCTTTCATCATTAGGAAAATGCAAATTGAAACAACGAGATATCACTTAACTCCAATGAGAATGGCTTTTATGGAAAAGTCCCCAAACAACAAATGTTGGCTTGGATGTAGAGAAATAGAAACACTCATACACTGCTGGTGGAACTGCAAACTAGTACAACCTCTATGGAAAGCAGTATGGAGATACCTCAGAAAACTATAAGTAGAATTACCATTTGATCCAGCAGTCCCACTACTGGGTATTTACCCAAAGGAAAAAAAGACATTCTATAAAAGACATCTGCACTCAAATGTTTATAGCAGCACGTTTTACAATGGCAAAGATGTGGAAACAACCCAAGTGCCTATCAATCCATGAGTGGATCAATAAAATGTGGTATATGTATACCATGGAGTACTACTCAGCCATAAAAAATGGTGAACTAATACCTCTTGTATTATCCTGTATGGAGCTGGAGACCATTCTTCTAAGTATCACAATAATGGAAAAACAAGCACCACATGTACTCACCATTAATTGGAACTAATTGATCAACACGTATGTGCACATATGGAAATAACATTCATCGGAAATCAAGCAGGTGGGAGAGGAGTAGGGGCTGGGGAAAATCACACCTAACGAGTACAGTGCAAAGTATCTGGGGTATGGACACAATACAAAAGCAATTTATTATATGTAACGAAATCATTTGTACCCCTGTAATATTCTAAAATGAAAACCAAAAAACCAAAAAAATACAGTAAGGATAATAAAGAATAGAAATAAAAGGAGCCAAGAAAATGAAACATAAATAGTAAAATGGATTAGAAAGAAAGTAGCAGATATAAAGAAGATCTAAGATAAGACTAATTATAGTTCCTGAAAGTGAAAAATAAAACAAGGAATAGATTTAAAATTATAATTTTACAAAACATTCTTGAAATAAGTCCTGACCTTCATATTGAAAAGGTCCATTGTATACCTAAAAAAATCCTGACCCACAATGTTCACCTGAGATATGGCCTTTACACATTAAATAAATCCTCTGGCCTTCCAGGCAAAAATACTTAAGTCAGTTTACAAAGAAAAGAAAATTACATTGGCATCCTACTTCTAAATGGTAACATATAAAGCAAGACCCTGGTAGAACAACATTTTAAAGAAACTCAAGGGAAATAAGCCAAGGATTTTATAGCCAATCAAGCTTTACTGCTGTAGAGCAGAGGTTAGCAAACTTTCTGTAAAGGGCCAGAGAGTAAATAAATATATGTGGGCTGCTTCTGGTCTCTATATTCTTCTTTTTTTGTTTTTTATAACTTTTTAAAAAAGTAAACATTCTAAACTCACAGGCCAGACTAAACAGGCTATAGATCTTAGTTTGCCCATCCCTGCTCTAGATAAAGTTTTAAATGTGCAAGAACTAAGGGAATATTGTATTCAGGAGCTTTTCCTATTAAAGGTTGAGCTTCATCCAACCAATAAATGATTGAAAAATCTTCTGCAGGCCGAGTATGGTGGCTTAGGCCTGTAATCCTCGCACTCTGGGAGGCTGAGGTGGGAGGATCACTTGAGGTCAGGAGTTCTAGGCTGTACATAGACATATACCAAAAACAAAGTGACTCAGAAAGACAAAAAAAGAGGAGATGGGTGGAGAATGGGGGTATACCAAAGAAATGTAAACAAAAGAAAGCAGAGCATCTTGATATGCAATAAGGAAGAATTCAGACCCAAACAGCATTAAATGTTGCTCTCCCCAACCCCCAGGCCATGGACCCGTACTGGTCTGCAGCCTGTTAGGAATCAGGCCCACAGGTGAGCAGTACGCCAGCGAGCAACGTTTCATCTGTATTTACAGCTGCTCCCCATTGCTCACATCACTTCCTGAGCTCTGCTTCCTCTCAGATCAGCAGGGGCATTAGATTCTCATAGGAGCACAAACTCTACTGTAAACCGTACTGTAACTGCGCATGCAAGGGATCTAGGTTGTACACGACTTACAAGAATCTAATATTTGATCATCTGAGGTGGAGCTAAGATGGTGATGCTAGTGCTGGGGAATAGCTGCAAAATCATCCTGAAACCATCCCTCTCACTGTCCATGGAAAAACTGTCTTTCATGAAACTGGTCACTGGTGCCAAAAAGGTTGGGGCCTGCTGTTAAGTGAGTCAAAGAAGGACACTTTATAATGTAAAAGTGATCATATTTATATAAGAACAACTTGTGACAACACATATAAACCTACATAAGGCCATGCAAGGCAAAGGCTAAGTGATACCTGCAAACCATCAATTTGTTTAACAGACCACTTTGAGTATACTGTGGCTTGCTCTATGATTAACAGACTTCCTTATCTTAAAACATTCCTTTCTATTGATTCTAAGCCTTTAGACAAAGCTTTATTTCCTTAACCAATTACAAATCACAGAATCTCTGAATGTACCTATAACCTGTAAGCCACCACTCCAAGATGTTGGAGATGTACCACCTTCTTGGGCCAAACCAATGTATATATCCCATGTATTGATTTATGATTTTACCTGCCTCCTTAAAATGTATCAAACCAAACTGTAACCTGGTTGCCTTGGGCGCATTTTTCTCAGGACCACCTGAGAAATGTTCACTGGGCCAGCAGCACTCATATTCAACTCAGAATAAACATCTTTAAATTATTTTACAGAGTTTGGGTTTTTTGTTTTTTTTTTTTCTGTTAACACAATTCCTTATTGCCCATGCTGCAAAGGACAAGGAAGCACTGTGAATTCTGCCAATTGCTGAGTAAATCCTTTCAAAGTATGCATTCAGGAATCAAGGAAACAATACAGGCGAAATTTGCAAACCTATTCAGCACACCATGAGACTGATTTAGCCAAAACTTCACTTATTATCTGACCCCTCTGAAATCTGTACCATATTGCTGAAACACATACTAATCAGGTCCCCAGGGATTAGAATCATATCAAATCTATTGTCCACTAATCCTGAAAAGTCTGGGTACTTCCCTTTCCCCAGTATAGTCACCCTTGTAAAAAGCCTCTGATCCCTTTAAGGAAAGTAAAGCAGGAAGTTTACAGTCCATACTTGTGGCAGTGTGACAGGGTTTTTCCTCAAGGATACCTACCTCCCTTTCACTTAAGAGGTTGTGGGCATATAAACTGGCTAAGGTCTGGTAATTCAATGAGGCGATGTGAGTATTCATGTCATTATTCAAGGCAGACCTCTATTTGCTAAAACTAAAAATAAATTTTGCTTATACAGACCAAGAGCTTACTGGTGTGCTTGCCCATTTCAGTCTCAGAAAGACCATGATTTATTAGTCTTAGGGACACCTTGAAAATGAATAATTGTCAAGGATTTCTTAATCAAACATCTTTATGATCACTCTGGTGATCATAAGTAAAATATCATATAGTAAAATGCTGTAAATTGGTTTCTGCCACTCTGGAATATTATCATCTCTATGGAAATCCAAGTGTACATTCCCATCTTCATTCTAGGCTGCATAAAATAGCCACTACAAGGCTTTTTCAAGAATGGTGGACTTACCTTTCCAAAATATTCCTCAATGTTTGGTTAAAGGGGTGAAGTGGAGATTATAAATCCTCTCTTAACATTTTTATTGCCCAAAGTCTTTGGATTTCTTGCTCTACTTTTTCATAAGAAATTTCTGGCATTCTAAATTTACTTAGCATAAGCCATTATATAGTCGAGGTTTCTGTCAACCTGTCAATTTAGCAAACTGTTTTTACTTTTAAAAACTGCTTAAGCTAGCATATTAAATCCAGAATCTGATAATTATATCATCAAACTTAGACCAATCTAAAGTTGTATTCCTTCATTCCTGGTCTGAATCTATTTGTAATAATATTCCTCTAAATATCTACTAGCACATATTAGCAAAATACTACTATTCTTTTGCAATAATTAGTCTGAGATTCTAGTAAGTTTTTTTGCCCATGTTTTGCTTTCTGTACCAAATACTAAATCAGTTCAGTTCAGGTGTAAGCAGGAAGGAATTTAATAAGGAAATTCAGTGTATCAGAAAGACTGAAGCAACAGGTTCCAGGCTTGGTCTTCTGGAATGACCTTTATATTAGCAAAGTCACCATCTCTAAGGCCATCACCAGAACTATGCTGAAAGCAAGAAGCTATCATTGTTTCTGCCATTACTGATTTTCACATTAAGGAAGCTGAATACTTAATTCATCAAAAAGAAAATGAAAAGAAAGAGTAAAACTGTTGTTATTCACTGATGACATGATTGTATACATATTAATACAATAGAAAGTCCTAAGGAATCTATGAAAAAACCTAACAATAGAATTTAGCAAAGTCTTAACAGACAAGTTCAATGTATAAAAATCAATTATATACCTTGTAGGATGCAAGTCATTAAAAAATCAATTATATTTCTTTAACAAGAAACAATTAGAAAATTAAAATTTTAAGGTACCATTTTTAGAAGCCTAGAAAATATCAAATATCTATAAATAAATGTAACAAAAGATGTGTAAGAGCACTACACTAAAACCACAAACACTGCTGAGAGAAACTAATGACCTAAATAGAGTTTTCATGGATTGGAAGACTCAATACAGTGAGAATACCAATTATCCTTCCAAATTGATCAACAGATTCAAGGTGATCCTAATCAAAATTCCTATAGTCTTTTGATAAGAAATTGACCAGATGACTCTAAAATTTATGTGAAAACACAAAGAATCTAGACTAGCCCAAAAAATCTTGAAAAAAAACCCAAAAGAATCAAGTTAGAAGTTGTATGCTATCTGACAACAAGAACTAAAGCCTCAGTAACAAAGATGGTATAGTACTGGCATAAGGATAAAAAAAAAAATCAATGAGCAAAAAAAGGAGATCAGAAATTGTTCTAGACCTATGGAGTCAATTGATTTTTCAGTAATACAGTGGAAAAAATAAAGTCTTAACAAATGGTGTGGGAACTGGATATTTGAGGAAAAAACTAAACTTCAACCCCAACCTCATTCTGTGTATAAAACTTTCATAGGTAGTGCTTCTCTTCAAATTGCCTCTATTTAACAAAGAAAAATTATCACTATTGATAGTTTGAAGAGATGGTATGAAAGAGTTGTCTAGAAGAGTACTAATGGACCATGAAAATATAGTATACTTGTTGGAGAATTAAAGACTCAGTTGAGGTTTATGGTTTGTTAACTACAATTGGGGTTTTGCCAAACAAACATGAAAGATTTATAACCATGGAAAAGTTAATATAATCTTCTGTCCTTATCTGAAAATAAGGATACTAGTACCTACTCAAAGAGTTGTTAAATTAAACAAGTTAACACACATAAAAAACTTAGAATAGTGATTGTCTCAAAAGATGTTATCTAATTGGTTGTTGCTATATCATCATTATCATTATTATTATTAGCTTCAGTACTTATTAACTATATGAATGACCTGGGCAAACCACTAAATCTCTCTGTGCCTCAGTTTCCTTTTTTGTAAAATGCAGATGATAAACATAACCTACTTATAGGTTTTTTTTTTAAATGGGGATTAAATGAGTAAAATGTGTAAAATACTTAGAATAGTGTCTGACAGTTAATATTCATTGTTAGCTATTATTAAAACTAGTATTATTATCATCCTAAGAAGGTCTTAAATTCATTCTGCAAATATTTGCAGAATTTTTTTTTTTTTTTTTTTGAGACAGAGTCTCACTTTGTTGCCCAGGCTAGAGTGAGTGCCGTGGCGTCAGCCTGGCTCACAGCAACCTCAATCTCTGGGGCTCAGTGATCCTACTGCCTCAGCCTCCCGAGTAGCTGGGACTACAGGCATGCGCCACCATGCCCGGCTAATTTTTTGTATATGTATTTTTAGTTGGTCAATTAATTTATTTCTATTTTTGGTAGAGACGGGGTCTCGCTCAGGCTGGTTTCGAACTCCTGACCTTGAGCAATCCGCCCGCCTCGGCCTCCCAATGTGCTAGGATTACAGGCTTGAGCCACCACGCCCGGCCATATTTGCAGAATTTTACGTTTCTCAATAATTTCTTGAGAATAAATTGGTGATTTGGATAGGAGTTCATTAACTCCTTTAAATCACTGCAATTTCAAAATTAGGTAACATATCCAAGATCACACAGCTAGTAACTATTAGCAATAACATAATAACCACTACTATACTGCTTCTCGATAGATGATCTAAATCTGTTTTAAAGATTTGAGTTAATTAAATACAGGCATAAATGTATTAAATTACAAATGAGCTCTTAAAGCTGGCAGTTAAGTGAAGGTTAGTGAACCTTAAAAACAAGTAATAAAATTTGAGAAGATAATCCAAAAAGGTGTTGGTGAAGAACTTTTCTCTCCTCATTTGGGCATATTGTTTCCTCACAAAAGCAGAAGCAAAAATCAGACTTCTGACAGTATTGATATTAGAAGTATATTACCAGAAAACTTGGACATTTTAATCTGTATTTTCATTTTAATTTCAGTATAAATCCTATGTTGCAATACATATGTTTTAAATTTGTACAATTTAAAACACAAATTTTTAAATCATACCTGATTGTCCTGTCTTCTACTGATAGCTATATCACCTTCATTTTTCCAAAGAAACTGACTTAAAGGAAATGACAGATTTGAAAGTCATATTAAAACATGATTCCATGAACATTCATATTTCATTATACATAGCTAATTCAAATCCTAGTCCAATGTTTACAGTAAGATAAAATAACTAGAAATTTTAGAAACATATTTGTATAGTTGTTTTATGAATATTTATAAAAACCTTTGTCTTAATTTCAAAAAACTATATGCACAAATCTTATCTAAGTACTATAATTTGGAATGACATGATACCAATGTGAAACTCAAGCATATTAATTAGTTTATCTACACCCAAAAACCTAAGAGAGGCAGAAGAATTAGTTCTAACAAAGGCAAAGACAGAAATTTTTCTGTCATTAAGTTGCCCCTGATGACCAAAAGATTACAAGAGAAATAAATTTAAGTTATAATTTATCCCTCATTATATTAGAGAGGGATATTACTATAAAACAGTAAAGATCCAAATCAAGGTAATTTCAGTTAAAAATATCACTAATTTCATTCATATCTTTGTTCTAAGTATAAGTCCTTACAATAGTACTCTGGATATCTCACTCTTTTTCTTATAGTTTAGATTATGACATGTGGAATCAGCATCTATACTAATTACCTTTTTTTGTTGTTAGAATAGTCATTATTTGAATCTTGCAATGATCCTGGAAACTCAGAATTTCCCATTTGATTTTTTGCAGCCTTGCTTTCCTTTGGAGTGGCTTTTCCCCCAGCTGATGTTGATCATCATCCATGGAAGATAAAGTTCAGAATATTATGAAAATACCAAAATAAAATTTTATTTTTATATGTAAATACTATAATCTTGTCTTATGTTTCAGAATCCCCATAAACTTTAACAGATACAAGGTAATGATTTCCACAGTGAATTTCATAAAATTTTAGTATATGTAAAAAATAAAATTCTTTGGTTAATTAAGTTTGGGAAACATTGAGTCAAGCAACACTAAGCAGCAACACAAACCCCTACATATACATTCTCCTACTGCAGATTTTCTGTCTCTAAGTACAACTGAATCTACAAGAGTGGGTATGTTGGGTTTTCCTCAAATTTAATTGTCTTTAGAAACCTTTTGCCAAAAGCATCTTTGAAATAGTACTCTGAGGAAACGTTCTGGAAAATGCTGGTATAAATACAGAGTATAAAATGTCATTTGTTATTTCACATACATTTTCATTTATAAAATCTCCCTTCACTTTAACAGAATTTCTCCAGATTGCCAAACTACACAATTTGTCTTTAAAATATCAAAACTACGGTGGCTCACGCCTGTAATCCTAGCTCTCTGGGAGGCCGAGGCGGGTGGATTGCTCGAGGTCAGGAGTTCGAAACCAGCCTGAGCAAGAGCGAGACCCCATCTCTACTATAAATAGAAAGAAACTAATTGGCCAACTAATATATATAGAAAAAATTAGCCGGGCATGGTGGCTCATGCCTGTAGTCCCAGCTACTTGGGAGGCTGAGACAGAAGGATTGCTTGAGCCCAGGAGTTTGAGGTTGCTGTGAGCTAGGCTGACGCCACGGCACTCACTCTAGCCTAGGCAACAAAGCGAGACTCTGTCTCAAAAAAAAAAAAAAAAATATCAAAACTAATGTTCTACATGATCTATATAAATAAAAGATCCACGAACCTCACAGTGTTAATGCAGACTGTTTTTCCCTTGGAGGAATCAATATTTTTTAATTTAGAAAAAATAAATGAGTCAAATCATTAATAATATTTGAAAAGTCATTTTGCAAGACTTGCCGCAATATATTACAATCTGAAGTCCATATTAGTTTTAGTTTGGATTCTACAATTTATTTACCAGCTGGCACTGAAAGAGTCATTTAAGAACAACAAATAGGGCTTTTCTAAAATATCTACTTAATGAAAAATGAATACAGAAAATGGATACGTCAGCTCAGCTGTTTAAAAGCTAATAAAATACTACTCTCCCTACCTACCCGCAAAAAGAAACAACAATGCAGAACTCAGTAGATTCTGAGTTATATTTTAATAGGGATACAAGACATGTATCTGTAATTCCTACTAACAGCATACAGCGATGATATGCTCACTACACCATGCAATACCTATGAAACTTAATAACAAAGAGAATGCAGGCCTATTTACTTTTGAAAAAATCATAACACAATGTTTTGAGAAATATACTGTATATATATGTTATATATATATATATATATATATATAAACATCATGGATTCACAGAAAAGGGAGCAATATCTGTGAAACTAAGTTTTGAACTATGAGCTATCTGCATGGCAAATAAGAGAGAAAGAGGAATTTCAGAAAGAAAGAATATGGCATAGGCAAGGGGCAGACCACTAATAATATATGTAGCATTTTTGTTAGTAGTGAAAAGTTCACTATGACCCTAGCATAGTGTTGCAAAACATGGGCTTCAGTTAAACACACAAGAGCTCATGTCCTGGCATTGGCACAGCATGTATGACTTTAGGTAAGTTATTTTTCTAACTTCAGTTTCCTTATCTCTAAAATGACATAGTACACGTAAAGCACCTACCACTTTGCTCAATCCTTTGAAGTCTCTTGACTTCAAGGTCTGATTTCTATCCCACTGCCATTTTCCTAGTTCAGGTCTTGATTACCTAAGTCTATTTTCCATATTGTCACCTAAGTTGTTTTTCTAGAACTAAAATCCAATTATGCCACTCCCGTTAAAAACATCAGATGGCTTCCCATTGCTTACCGAATTCTTTAGCTTTGCAAGCAAAGCTCTAGCAGTTCAAGTCCCTACCTACCTCTTTAGAAGTATCAGTTCTTGGTACCCATTCTACTGAGTATCCCAAGAATGGAAAAACAAGCACCATCAAATTGGTATCAACTGATCAACACTTAAGTGCATATATAGTAATAATATTCATCGGGTGTCGGGCCGATGGGAGGCAGAGGAGGGGATGAGTATATACACACGTAATTGGGTGTGGTGCGCACTGTGTGTTGCTTCAGTGATATATGCACTGAAGGCCGACTTTACCACAATGCAGTATATTAATGTGGCAAAATTACACTTGTACCCCATGAATATATATAAATAAAAAATAAATGGGGGCAACATAGTGATACTCTATCTCTACAAAAAAGAAAAAGAAAAAAATTAGCCAGGTGTGGCGGTATGCACCTGTAGTCCTAGCTACTTGAGATGCTGAGGCAGGAGGATCACTTGAGCCCAGGAGTTTGAGGTTATAGAGAGCTGTGATCACCCCGCTGCACTACGGCCTGGGTGATAAAGCGAGACCCTGTCTCAAAAAAAATAAATAAGTAAAAAAAAGAAATAATAAAACTATAGTAACTTAAAATTTTTTTTAAATAAATGGGAAAAAATAAATGAAATTTCTAAGACATAACTCTTAAAAAAATAAAAATAAAAGATAAATGACTGAAATGGTAACAATGTAACATGGAGTTTGTAACATATGTATAAATAAAATGTATGACAACAATAGCACAAAAGACCCAAAGGAGGAAACAGAAGTATACTGCTGTAAAGTTCTTATATAAGAAGTTGTATATAATTCAAAAGTAGGCTTCATATTGAGGTGCATAATACATAGCCTACAGCTTAAATGGCCAAATAATAAATATTTCAAGCTTGTAGACTGTAGGTCCCCATCACAGCTACCCAACTCTGCTGTGGTACAAAAGCAGACATTGACAAAATAGAATTGAATGGGCATAGCTATGTTTCAATAAAACTTTGTCTACAAAAAACAGGCCACTAGACATAGATTAAAATAAAAATAATAGGAGTTTTCTTACCTCCACCCTAAAGCAATCACTAAAAAATTTTAAAAATGAGGTTATAACTAATAAGCCCATAGTGGAGATAAAATTGAATCATAAAAACTACTCAATCCAACAAAAGGAGAAAAAGAGAATAGAAGAGATCAGACAAATATAAAACAAATAGCAAGATAGTAGATTTAAAGTAACCACAACAATAATTACATTAAATTTAAATGACCTAAACATCTCAATTAAAAATTACAGAATGTCAAATTGGTTAAAAATCAAGATCTGGCCAGGCGTGGTGGCTCACGCCTGTAATCCTAGCACTTTGGGAGGCCGAGGCGGGCGGATTGCTCAAGGTCAGGAGTTCGAAACCAGCCTGAGCGAGACCCCGTCTCTACCAAAAATAGAAATAAATTAATTGACCAACTAAAAATATATATACAAAAAATTAGCCGGGTATGGTGGCGCATGCCTGTAGTCCCAGCTACTCGGGAGGCTGAGGCAGTAGGATCGCTGAGCCCCGGAGATTGAGGTTGCTGTGAGCCAGGCTGACGCCACGGCACTCACTCTAGCCTAAAAAAAAAAAAAAAAAAAAAAAAAATCAAGATCTAACTATATGCTATCTACATGAAATCCACTTTGAAAGGTATATCATGCAAATGCTAATCACAAGAAAGCTGGAGTGGCTATATTATAATATCAGACTAAGTAAACTTCAAAATAAGGACTATTACCAGAGATAAAGATAAACATACCATAAGGGGTCAATTCATAATCCTAAATATGCATACAGCTAATAACAGAGCTTCAAAATACATAAAACAAACACTGATAGATATTTGAAGATATCAATACCTTTCTCTCAGTAATTGATAGAGCATGTTGACAAAAATTAATAATTTGTCATCAAAAGAATCATATCAAGCCATGAATTAAAATCTAGAATTAAATATCCACTAAAATTGTTTTTTAAAATACTGATTCATTATACAGAGATGAGAACTTTTATAAATATATATAATAGATCAATATTTTAAAAGAAAGAACAGAAAATTGAATGAGTATTTAACTTTAAACACTTGGAATAGTATTTCATGAAGGCAAATCCAAATGTCCATTAAACATATGAAAAAATACTCAACCAAACAGAACCTTTAGAAAAGAAAAATATTTGGAATTAAACATTCAATGTAATGATTTCACTGCAGATGTCTGTGAGATAAAGAGATAATTCATAAGATAGATTTGGAAGACAGATGTGAAAAAATTATCCAGAATGTGGAACAGAGAAACAAGGAGACAAACTATTTGAGACAATGGCAAGCTATGGTTCAATAGGAACTTTCAGACATTGCTGCTGAGTACAGCCACTTTGGAAAACACATGGACATTGTTTAGTCAAGTTGAATATGTGCATTATAGATATATAATTGGCATTAATGGATGCCATTAATTATACCATTAATGGCATAATTGGCATAATGGATGCATGTACATTATATATATATAATTGGCATTATATATAATATATATAATGTACATACATCCATCATATATATATGTATATACACACACACACACACAGACACACAATGCCAATTCTCTTTCACATGTACATTTAGGACTTATGTACAAAAATGTACATAACAGTATATTTATAATAGATCTAAACTATAAACAAACCAAATGTCCATTACCAGTAGACTAGGTAAATAAATTGTAATATATTCATACAATGGGATAGTACAACAATGAAAATAACTGAAATAGTGATATGTGTAACAACATAGTTGGATCTTACAATGTTCAATAAAAAAGAAAGTCCAAATATGTATGTATACACATACACACACACACATATAATTCAAAACAGATTAAATAAACTATTTTATTAAGGGATACATATATGGGTTTTAAAACTATAAAGAAAAGCAAGAAAATAATTATCACAAATATCAAAGTAGTAGTTCTCTCTATTGAAGAAAGAAAAGGATGTGACTAGAGAAAGACATATAAGGTTAGAAAGTGTTCAAAGAACAACAAAACGACATTACCTTAGAAACAGCAGTTAAACTTCTAAAAAAAATAATAGGACAAATGCATGAAACTGCATTTACAAAAATGTTCACAGAACTATTCATAATAGCAAAAACATTAATAAATGGTTGGGAAAATTTATGATTCAAGGGAATTCTATAATGAAGTAAATCTGTATTTATTGATATGAAATCTATATTTTAAAATAAAAGAGGCTTTTAAGAAGTTTGTACGTATCCTCATTTTTGAAAAATAAAAAATACATGAGAACTGAAAAGAATAAGACTATACACCAAAATACTAACAGAAGCTATCTCTGGGTGATGAAATTGTCATTAATCTTTATACTTATTGATGTTTCTAGAACTTTTGAAAATGAGCATATACTGGGTTCTCATTTAAAGTATACTTTTTTTTGAAGCACCAAAAAATTATTAACATTTAAAAACCAAATTTGCACAGAATTCACAGAATTCAAAACTCCCACCAAAGTTTCTTTTGGGGGAGTTTCATGCAAGTAGCATAGTTCAGGAATTTGGCCAATAGCCCAAGGTGTGACATACACTACTCACAGCTTTATGCAGGGCAGTTGCCCACTTCATTAGCCACTTGACTTTGCACTGTTCAAGAATACTGAGATTCCACTCTGAATTTTTGTTTCCTGGTTTTTGGTTTTTTCCTTTAAGTGATTTCCCTTTAAATGATTATTATGACTGGAAAGCAGAGACATGTCCAGATAAAGAAAAAGATAAAGACTCTCACTGAGTATCTCCCTGGCATCAAATAATAAACAGTAGATATTAAATGTTCCCAAGATTAAAGAAAGTGCTAAATTTGGAACATTGCTGGGTATAGCATAAACTTAGAATGCAAGAAATGTCAACTGGTTAAGAATATATTTTGTAGCTGTAATAAATGTCATTTGTTTCTGGGGGGTTAATTTCATTTATAAATGTTTGGTATAAGTGCTTTTCCCTCACAGTTTATTTCCTTATGTAATATGGTATAAAAGTTCAACTGATTTTTTCTATTGATTCTTAGGGTGTAGTCAGTTTTATTTACATGCGTTTAATTTTGATTTGAGCATTTTTAACTATCTACCACTTTTTAAGAATCACGTTATTAGTAAATGGATAGGTGCAACCAGATTTAAAAATTTAAAATTCTTTGAAATACACATCTCCCAACATTAGAATTGTTTTTGCTTTGGTTTGATATTGTTTTCCTGATCCTCTGTCCTCTGATAATACCAAAGTTTTATGCAGTAATACTTCCTTTCTCTTTCCCTGTAGCCGTAATTTTATCTGAAACTATTTTATTATTTAAAAAAAAAGTGAAGGTGGTAGAGTTTATTTAAGTGCTGTAACTATTTTGATTTTGTTTTTATTTTAGCACAGTACTTAAATTGTTATTTTTCTCCCACCTGGCTAAATCATTTTTTTTAACAAATCCCTAAATTGAACAGTAGCTTTCCTTTTATACTGCCTATACTTGTAAGGCTGGATTTGCCCAGAATTTGCTCACAGGCTTGACTGCTAAAATGTACTATAATAACCTCTTTGTCTTTCCCATTCCAGTTGAAATCACCTTCCTGATTCTTGTTAAGATGCTGTTTCAAAGTGTTTTCCAACAAACTGGGATCTCTTCCAAGTACTTCCTTTGACAAAATTACACTAACTGGTCCGTGGATTGTTCCATCAGCCTCAGTAACACCATTATTAGTCTGTTGCTCATCTAAAGTAACTGTTGATGATGCTGAATAAACATTTCCTAAATGGTCCATTATAGGAAGCAAATATAATTCTGGTTGAAGAGCCTAAATATAGAAAAATTTAAAATTAGTTGATAATTAAAAAATAGTATAAACTTAAAAATTAGCATGTTTAAAATGTCACATTACATACATATGGAGGAGCAAATGATTTGAGTTTCAGTTCTGATTCTTGCTTTTCTTTCACCTAGAAATAAATAAGAAGAAATTAAAGCTTTTGCAACATTTTTCAAATTTTACCTCCACTTTTTTTCTTTTTTTGCAGAAGGCACATATTTGTGGCATATAAATAAAAATTTAAAAGCTAGTATCTATGGCTAGATTCCACAAAATGTAGAACATAATCCTACTTTTATTCACTGAACCAAACAGAAATTCATTATGGTTATCACTTGGATGGACTCACTATGAGCCAAGCACTATTCTAAGTGCCTTATATATATTAGCTCAGTAAATCCGTAAAATGTCATATCCAAAGCTTACAGAAAAGTGGACTGAGGCAAAGAAAAGCTAAGTATTATAAGTATTATTATAGCCAAGATTATGTAACTAGAAACTACCAAGTTGAGATTCAAAACCAGGTAATCTGACTCCAGGGTGTATACCCTAGTAAACTTCTTACATAGTCAAACCACAGAATTTATTTGTTACTTATTTATTTAACAAATATTGAGGTCATACTATGTTTCAGGCAGTGTGCTACTTGGTAGGGATACAGTGGTAAATAAGGCAAAGTCCCTGCTCTCATGGAGCTTATCCTCTACCTGCAGGAACAGATATTAAATACATAAAAATGATTTAGGATTGTGATATATGTTTTACATAAATAAAACAGTGATGTAATAGAGAATCACTTGAAGAAAGAATATCTAAAAACTAGGTAGTGAGGAAAGGCCTTTTTGAAAAGAGAATACTTGAGCTGAGGCTTGAATTATGAAAATCAGCAGCCAGCTATCTGAAAATCAGTGGGAAATGATTTCCAGACAAGCTTAAGGACTAAAAATCAGAAATGAGTTTGCCATATTTGAGGACCAAAGAAAGATTTTTGTAGCTGAAGTATAAAACTAAGAAGAAGATGGTAGTAGGTGAAATATAAGCAGCAGCTTATTCCTTAGGCCCTTCTTATCTCTTTCCTGGACTACTGTAAAAGCCTTCTAGCTGGAATCCCTGCCTCTAGTCTGTTCCTACTTTAAGCCATCTTTCTCAGAGAGGCCTAATTAATTTTACTGAAGGTTTTATCTAATCATGTCACCCTTTTGCTCAAAACCTCCATGTCTTCGGAAAAAAATCCAAACTCTTAATCTAGCATTCAAGACCTTCAACAAACTGTAACTTGTTCCCCATTATTCCCTTTCATGTAGTCAATGTTCCATTAAAAAAATTAACTACTTATTTTTTATTGGTTGCCTGCTTTTCTACTCTTGTGTTCATTCCATTTTCTCTGCTCAGATTTTCCCACACTTCATCTTTGCAATATCAAACATTTATCTTTCAAGATGGAAACTGAATATCACTTCTTCCTTAAAGTTTTCTACCTTCCCTCTTCCCCTGCTAGAATTAATCTTTTTCTTCTGAATATATAAAATATATTTTATTTATTTTCTATATTTTCTCTTCACCATTACACTGAACATTCTTTAAAGACAGGATCTGTATCCAATTCTTTTTTCTAGTTTTGAATATATAAAAACATAAATAAACATTTGTTGAAAATAATAAAATATTAGAAGGATTTGAGAAATTGACCTAAATTATTTTTAAGGTCTCTTCCAATTTGAGATTCTGTGATTGATATTTTATTTTATTTTATTTTATTTTATTTTTTTGATTGATATTTTATAAATTTATACATCATGAAAAAAACCAAAAGATTATGAGTGCTGTTCATTTTCTTCCTTGTTTAAGGAAAACTTAGTGATTAGTAAATTAATATTCTGGCATACTAAATGGAACCCTAACAATAAACCCTTTTGCTCATTTAGTTACTGATCCCAAGAATCCCACATAGCAAATTATAGTAAGTACTTTGAAGGAAAATTCTTATTTCTTCCATTATCATTCATTATTTAATTTGTTCAGTAAACATTTAAACACCTCTAAGTGCAAAACACCTTGTTAGGCCCTATTTATAAATATAATGGTGAATAAAGTCCCTGCCCACAAGGAACTATTAATAATATCTCATGATAGAGTTAAATATTAAACAAATAATCACATAAATAGACAAATAATAATGACAATATATTAACTAGAGTGAAATAAGAATATACTGCATTTTAAAGAGTTTAAATACAGAAAATCTTGATTAAAGAAATAAACCTTGTACAGATATGAGAAACCAGAAACTTTGAGATCTGATGGCTTGTTAGATAGGGAATTTCAGCTAGGAATACTCTCCACTTCAAATATTATGCCACTAAATCATAGAAACTACAAATAGGAAAGTTCAATAGATAACAGCTGACACTAAAAATATTATAAAAAGAAAAATATATTGGGGCCATATCATTTTCACACCAAATGAGGCTAGTTGTGGCCCTACAAGTAATGAGAACCCCATTTTTCTCCAGAACAAAATAACTTGGGTAAAACACTTTTAAAAACTGACACTTAAATTTAAAAATGTATTACTTACATGATCACATTTTAAATGTCTTTTCTTCACAAGGAAATTCACTTGCAAAAAACCCATCATTTTATGCTTGACAGACATGCCAATGAGATCCATCTTTCTTGATCTGTGTGCACTTAGTGATATTTCCATTTCCTTACGATTGAGATTACATATCTCATAGTGTTTTAAGAAGCTGAGTTAATAAATTTTTAAGGAACATAATTTGATAAGGAATGCTTTTCCTTAATAAGAAAAAAATAAGAAAACTTACCACAGCTAAATTATTTCCAATGCATTTCAGAAATAAAAATTTTTCTGCAACAGCATCTTCACCAAGGAACTCACCAAGACGCTCCCTCAGGGCTTGTAAAGTAAGTTGAGGAGATACTCTGAAATATAATAAAAATTGCCTCACAATGTAGAAAACTAAATAGATTTTGGATATATCCTCGATTTAGTAACTTTAGTCAGCTCAAACATAAATATTGGTTTAATGTCAGATATAGTTTAATATTAATATATTATGGTTCTACATTGCCTGGTACTTTGTAGGTCTTTTATAAATATCTTTTAAAATAAATGTTTACAAGTCTACATTTTAAAATTATGCATATGAACACCATTTATAAATGTTCTTTTTGTACTGAAAAAGAAAATGATCATCTTTGCTAATTTATCTCCAAATTTTATTGTTAAAACTTTATTATGGAATTTATATAATTTTATACATATATTAAAGGATAATTTAGCCACAGATATTTATTTTGGATGTTTGGCAGGAGTAGCTAGTACTTAACATTTTTTAAAATAATCAAATGTCAGATTCCACATTTTTGCTTATTAGGAATACTTCATTCTTCAATGTCTAAAATTTAAAGACACCATTTATGCTACTGTTCTGAGTTCTTGTTTTTCTAGGATCTTATGGGAAATATTAGATATATAGAAAGATCATTCATTCATTCAATCAACAAATATTTATTGAGCACCTACTACATAATCAAACATTGTTCCAAGGGATAGGAATATGGCAATCAATAAAACAGACAAAAAAATCTTTGCTCTCATAGACTTTATAATCTAGTAGTAGGAGAGAAAAATTAACAAAGTAAATAAGTAAATTCATAAGACACTGCTAAGTACTACACAGAAAAATAAAACAGAGAAGGGAGAAGGGACTGTAGCTGTGATTTAAAATACAGTGATAGAATATATTTACATAGAAAGTGGTATTTGAGTAAAGACCTAAAGGAAATGAGGTTAGGGCAGATAACACATTCTAGACAAAAGGAACAACAAATACAAGGGCCCTAAGGTAGGGTCATGTCTGACATGTTCCAGAACAGAAAGGAGGCTGATATGGCTGAATAAAGTGATGAAGAAGATTAGAAAGAAAAGTGTGGTCAAGAGAGATAACAATAGGCAGTCAGATATGTGTCCTGTTTCTGTGAATGTAAAAATATAAATATATATACAGATAAATGTACATAATAAACATATACTTATGTTCTTTATATTTTTAAACAGTTGAAAGAAAAGTGCATTGCAGATATATTGCTTTAACTATTATTCACAGCTCCTTCAACAGGTTTTTATTTCAGATAACTTCTCTCATAATACTTTTTGTGTATAAACATAATATACAAGTTATACAATTTTCTGGATGACAGTATTATGACCAAGTGATCTGTTCCTACAGCACTGTTTGATTTGTTACATAGTACTACTTATTGATAGTATTCATTACGTTAGGAAATGGATCCATCACATGGACAAAATATTTTTCATTTATAATTTTTAAATTTCCAGAAAGCATTTTTCTGCAGAAAAAAAGATTCCTTTTCAGGCATATTGTTACACGATCACAAAATACTTGCCTTATAAATCCAGCTGAAATGAATTTGTTAACAACTTCCATAGAAATGGTATTTAATTTATAGTTCCATGATCCTTCAGGGACATAAAAAACATGAAGTTCCACCAACTGAATAAATTGAGAAAAACAGCAGTTAAAATATTTTAAACTGAAAAAATTCAATTGATAACCTATAGAATTTTAATAAACAGGTGAAGTAGACACAGAAAACATATATATACTTCTGAACAAAAAACAAAATGAAGAACTAAAAATTCATTCTTAAATTGGCTACTTAGCACTTTGAGCACATTTTACCTTGGAAACAATATAGATGTGCTATAGATGTGGCTCCTAGATTATCTCAACAACTTTGGCATATAGTGTTCCTTCTGTGGCCCCAGTAAGAATACAAGAGTGCCAAAACCAGTTTTCTTATCACCAACTTTTCCCTCACCCTACTCAGTTCCATTGGGGTGACCTTGTAGAATCTTTATCCTTTGTATATTGTCTCTCTGCTACAATTCTGATGATTGCTAGCTCTCAGTACCTGTAAAAGGGTTAATACTGTGGTTTGAGGAACATATCGGTTCCCCAGAATTCTAGGAGAAACCTATTCCTAACTAGTGATAGGAAAAGGAATGGTTGTTCTCACACATGTCTATAAAGCTTGTCTGTGCTTATATATAACTATTTACTTTTCTATTAATGTTTTGTTATATCCTTGATTAGAATCCTATTTAGAAGAATATTTAGATTACTACAACAGAAACAAAACTATAGCAAATATAGCCCTATCTCTTTAGTCTAATGAAGTTTTGATATTTATTGCATATTAAAAGCCAAAGCATTTAAATGATTATACTCTAACTGAAATATCAAATATCTGAGAAACCTTTAAAAGTTTGAATATGATATACTATTATTAATTTCTATAGGATATAAAAGGTTTGTTTTTTAAAGAACTCTCAGTTCTTAAACTGAAGGCTTTACATTGTTTTATAAACCAAGAAATTACCCCTATACTTTTGATGATGAAATATTAAGCAACAATTTAAAATGTTTGTATAGATATGATAGTGAAATTTGCTATATGCTACATTTTGAACACCAGAGTATTTAAAAAATTATTCCCTAGCATACTATTACATATTTGTAAAACCTTAGGAAGTATGAATATGACTTTATTTACAAATATATTAATATTTTATAGGTGAAAAATATTGAACAAAATATTTATATACAAGTTTCTAAAAAGAAATACATTTTTAATAGTTAATTTTTTCTAGAACAAAGTAGTTGAAAAAATAGTGAAAAATTTAAAAGTATATATATGTTAAAACTTACAACATTATTTTAAGGCTAAATATTCTATTTACACCAAAACACTAATTTATTATAATCTTGCTTTCGTGACTCAAATGGAAGCAAATCATTAATATTTTCATTAAAACCATTAGCCATTTTAAAAATACATTAAAAGATGTGTTTGTATATGTGTGTGTGTGTATATATATGTGTATATATATATATTTTCTTTTCTTTTGCCTAAGGCTTCAAAATGGCTAGGGATGACACTGTTGGATTCTGTCTCTATTTAAAATGTTGATATAGTCATCATGCATTTTTTTGCATTAATTTTAATTAAAAAAATGTTTGGTGCCCCCTTAAATTTTGCATCCACACCAAGTACCTCATTTACCTCAGACTAGTCCTGGTTCTGTAAGGGATATAAACAATACACAAAGAATATAAAACACTAGTAGGTTATATAGTATATTAGAAAGTGGTAATTACTAGTAAAACGAAACAGAGCAGGGTAAGAAAGACCGGCAAGGCAATGCGATGGAGAAAATTTCAGTTTTAAATAGAACAGTCAGGGTAGGTCTCATGGAAGAGGTGAGATCTGAGTAAAGACTTCAGAGAAAAAAGGAATTAGCCAAGTGAAGACCCAGAGAGAAAGATAACCAGGAAGAGCTAAAGCAAAGGACTTAAGGTGAGAGCATGCCAGTAGGATTGAAGCAGAGAGTCTGGGAGAGATAGGAGTAGGAGATAAGTTCAGAAAAATAAGGAGATAGAGGGGAACAAATTAAGTAGGGCCTTCTGTGCCATTTTCACCTTTTAAAATGGAAGCCAATGCAGGGTTTTAATAGAAGCATGACAAAATATGACTTCTATTTTATATTTTTATTTGTTTAATATGAAAAATTTCAAACATATATATGCAAATTAAACATATACTCCTCTCTCTCTCTCCCTGTCTTTCAATACAACATTCAAAGTAATCAGACATCATGACAATATATCCCTAAATACTTTGGCATCCATCTTCTAAAAATAAGGACTTCTCTAACATAATCACAATATTATTTTCACATGTAAGAAAATTAAAATTCCTTATTCTTTAAATTTTCCAATCCATATTTAAATTTTCCCAATTGTCCTCACAACCTTTTTCAATCTAGAATTCAATCCAATATCACCCTGCATGTGGTTGTTATGTCTTTTAGAAACCTTAATCTGGATGGAACTGGAGACCATTCTCTTAAGTATCACAATGAAAAAACAAACACCATACATACTATTAAACTGGAACTAACCAATCAGCACTCATGTGCACAGATAGAAATAAAACTCAACAGAACTCATGCAGATGGAAGGGGGAGGAGGGCATGGGTGAAATTATACCTAATAGGTATAACGCACACTATCTGGGTGATGGGCACAATTATAAATTTAACTCAAGGAGTACAAAAGCAATCCATGTGACCAAAACATTTGTACCCCCATAATCTTCTGAAATTAAAAAAAAAAAAACACCTTAATCTTGAAGAATTTCCCAAACCTGTGGTGGTGTTTTTCATGTGTGTTTGTTTTTAAATATTCACTGCATTGACGTTTTAAAGCGATTGGGCTAGTTATCTTATGGAATGTCCTACATTCTGAACTTACCTCATTATCTCTAAGGTATCATTTAACTTGTTTTTCCAACCTATCTCTTATAAACAGTTAATTGTACAGCCTTCAAAGGACACAGGTTAACCATGGGGGGCAAGAATATTTTATAAATGGTGCTCTGTATTTCATATTGTATTATATCAGGACATGCATAATACTTTAATTTTAAATCTTTCTAAATTTTAGTATTTGGGTTAAAGGGATAATAACCAGGACAGACTGTAAGAATCAAGAAAAGAGAAGCTGTTATGAAGCTATTGAAATAATTACAGTGTGAGATGATGGTAGCTCAGACCAATGTATTATCAGTAGTCAGACTTTGTATATATTTTGAAGTTAGAGTCAATCCATTGGAAGTGGAGTTTGAGAGGAAAGAGTCAAGTATGCAAGAAGAATCAAGTATGATTCCAAGGCATTTGGCCTCAGATACTCAAAGGATAGATTTGATATCACCTGAGAAGGGGGAAGTCATGGGTAGTTCAGGTATTTGGGAGGGGGAAAAGATCCAGTTTCAGATATGTTAAGTTAAAGATGTCTATTGGCCATCCAAGTGGATATGTTAATTAGTCAGCTGAATATATGTATATATGAATCTAGAGCTTAGGAAAGAGGACTGGGATGAGGATGATATAAATTTGGAAATCCTTGGCATAAAGTTGGTATTATATTTAAATTTATTAGACTGGATAAGATCACCAAGGAGTGAATATAGATAGATAACAAACAGCTGAACCCCAAGATAATCCAATATTAAAAGGTCAAGATGACCCTGCAAAGATTGAGAATTAATAATAAGGGAGGTAGAAGGGAAACCAAGATAATGTGTATACTAGAAGCCAATAAAGGAATTATGTCAAAGAAGAGTGATTAATGGTGTCAACTGTTGTGCACACATAGATCAAGTATGCCTAGGATAAGAATTAAACAATAGATTTAGTAATAAAGAGGTGAATTTAACAGTAAACAAGTTGTTTACAAGAAAGAGAATTTAACAGTTTTGGTGGAATAGTGGAGGTGAAAGCTTGATTGAATTAGTTTAACAGAAAATGGGGAGAAGGTTTTAGGGGTCTGAAATAGTATGAAATACTTGTCTAGAAGAGAAGAAGAGTGAATGAAAAGAGTGGCAGATAGTAAGATTTACTATCAGCAAAAGATTCATGGTCATGAATTTAAAGTGAAAATAATCCTTATGCTGGTATTTTTCTCCAGCCATGTTTAGCTATTCAGGGGTAGGTATAGAATAGGTGGAGAAAAGGATTAACCATGTTTGTTGTTTTGCCAAGGAGCATAATGAAATGAGACAGGGGCAAGGAGTCAAAAGTACTTGCAAGGGACTGATAAATACTGCCCTGGGGAACTTAAGCTAGATACTGAGGGCACCATCAGTTGAGGAATAGTTAAAAAAAAAAAAAAAAAAAGGTGTTAGATCAATGCATTGGAGGACCCAATACAATTGGAGTAGCAGAGGAAGTGGGCTACAGACATAAGAAGTTTAATGAGACAATGGGATACATGAAGTGGGGACCATGGTGCAGTCAGTATCTAATGCTTCATATAATTCATATTTTTGCTTTTTAAAAACTTCTCAAAACAATGATAAGCAAGTTTTTCTTATATTTTAGTATAAAAAGATTTTCTTACCTCTGAAGACGAAGGTCGACTTGGATTGAGTGACATATTTGCTAATGTCTGAATAGGATAATTATCAGTTGGAATTTTGGGGTTTTTTAAATCTTTCTTCATTTAAGTAGTATTAAATAAATGTTATAATAGATTTTTGGCTTATTTAATATAGCATTCCACTCATTTCTGGTCTCTGATTTGTTCAAGAAATGAAAAGAAAACACAAAAACTTTAAAATAGAGTCAAAATGAAAATTTAGAAATGTTATACAATCTTTTTATTATTCTAACTCAGAAAGACATGCAATTAGTAAATAGGGCTGGCGGGCTGTTAATTGCAATGAAATGAGCATACTTCCTACACAACTAAGTAAACTGATAAGTTACATTATAATGGACTTCTGATTGAGATATATTTTTCTATTCTAAACAATTCCTTTTTTCTTGGTGAAAAATTAAGGTTAAATATATAGCATTTTACATAAAACAGAAACATACTTTTGGAAATAGAAAGACTGAGTTTATACAAATGGCTGTAGAATGATGAAACCGTTTTACCATATGTATTTCTTCCTGGGCCTGGACGCCTCAATAAGTGTGAACAATCACTCCATATGAAAATGCCAGCCTTTAAATATATCATGCTTCATTTCTGTATTATTTCCTGGGTTTTCCTCAGAGGATTTATGGCAGTTTACAAGAATACATGATAGAATTAAAGATATAAATTATATAATAAAAATTGAAAAATAAGGTAGCTGAATTATTACTTTAAAAAGGAATCATCAAAGTAGTACAATCCTTAAGAATATACTAATCATACCAACACCAGAGCAGAGGCTTTTTCTAGATTTCAAAACATTGCTCCCCCTTGGTTTATGTTAAAAAATTAATTTAGATCCAACAAAACTTAAAATACCTCTTATCTGGTACAGATTATAGCTCTATGAAATCCTAATTATTAAATACTAATTATTTTAATCATAGCAAAATTAAAAGATTATTTCCTGGGATATCTTCTAAATCAAATTAGTTTCATATAAATACATCCTACATAAATTTCTTACAGTAATTTTGTTACAGTCCAGCAAGCTAAGAATCTTACAATATAAATAAAATTTAAAATGTGATTGTCATTTTGATGAAGTCAAACATGATTTTAAATACATTAATACTTCAGGAAAACATTTAGATAGTTCAATTTCTATATCTAACCAAAGGCTTTTTCTGACAATGTACTAATATTAGTCTCTATTATGAACCTAAACAAAGTGTATGACTCAGATACATATATGGTCACTTCCTTATTAGATAAGAATTAGTGATAATAATCTACAATTATAGAACATGGGCATTCATTAATTAACTGGTATGCAAATGAGGTTATACTTTTAAAATTTCTGTAGATCCATAAAATTTGATATTTTAATTTGGAATACTTTTTTTTGAGACAAGGTCTTGCTTTGTTGATTAGGCTAGACTGCAGTAGCGTCATCACGTCATCATAGCTCACTGCAATCTCAAACTTCTGGGCTGATCCAAACTGATCTAAACTCCAACTGATCCTCTTGCCTCAGCCTTCCAATTAGCTGAGACTACTGACCCACCACCATGCCTGGCTAATATTTTCTATTTTTTTGTATAGATGGGATCTTGCTATGTTGCTCAGGCTGGCCTCGAACTCCTGGCCTGAAACAATCTTCCCAACTAGGCCTCCCAAAGTGCTAGGATTATAGGTGTGAGCTACCACGCCTAGCCCCAGAACAAATTTTTAATTAAGCAAACTCAAGACAGGTCAATCAAAACCTTTAGTGTTGTCCTAAGGTAAACTGCCCTGCTATACAGGTTGAGTATCTCTAATACAAAAATCCTAAATATGAAATGCTCCAAAATCTGAAATTTTTTGAACCTTGACATGACACACAAAGGAAATGCTTACTAGAACATTTTAGACTTTGGATTAGGGATGTTCAACTGGTAAGTACATAATGCAAATATTGTGAAATCTGAAAAAATCTGTAATCTAAAACATTTCTGGTCCCAAGCATTTCAGATAAGGGACATTCAACCTGTACTATTCCTTCTAAAGTACATTTCTGGTCCCAAGCATTTCAGATAAGGGATATTTAACCTGTACTATTCCTTCTAAAGTAACAGCAAAGAACCCACGTTTTGTATTATAAAAACTCCCTTTGTCATTTCTGATGGGATCAGTGTTGGAGACTGAATCCTGGGCTGGCCAGAAATAAATGAAATGGCCTAATGTAAAAAGATGAGCCCTTGGGAATTAGAGTTGGGATAAGAGCTCAAGGAAAAAGTATTAGGAGACATTGACGCAAAAAGAATACATAGTCAACAAGGCACCAAAGGTGAGGTAGTTTAAAAGACTGGTGGGGAAAAAGGCAAAACAATATTTAATGAGATTTCTTTCATATTTTTTACACTCATAATTGTTATTTCACTCTCAAAAAACAATTCTAGGAAGCTTTATTATTTCATTTTGAAATGAGTAAACAAAAGGTTCAGTGAAGATCAGGTGGCTTGCCCAAGGATATTACAGGAAGTGGTAGAGCCAGACTTCAAACCTGGTTTCTAACTCCAGTCATTATATCCATTGTATAAATTAAGTGGAATGCTAAACTTACACTGTACATTTTTGCGAACTGATATAAACTGTTGAGTAAATAAGTTAGGTTTTGTTGACCCAAAGCAAATTATATACAATTTTTCTCATAATATAAAACATCTTAAGTATACTAATGATGAAATTATTCATGTTTATAAAAAATATGAGTGCATTCTGAGATGGACTACCCCAACAGAAACTGGAAACATTGTCTTAAGTGCTGTGACATACTACACACGTTTACATGGGTGAGACGCAGTGGCTGAGCCTACTTTCTTTGGTTAGATTCTACTATCTCTACTGAAAACTCCTTTGGGGATCAATTTCAAGCGAGAGGTAATAAATTACAACTGAAACAAAAGAGCAAACTATTCGGAAACACAAAGTTTTATTTTAGAAAGTACAATAAGCGTTAATTCTCCAAATAAAATGGATAACAGATGCGACAGGGGTAAATCTTCAGCCAGCTCCTTGGCTTCAGAGGAGACAGGTGTAAATCTTCAGCCAGCTCCTTGGCTTCTCTACAGCCTTTTCCAGAAAACCGATTCAAGAAGTGGGAGGCGACAAAGTCAAACATTGAGAAGATCCTCTTTTCTTCAGCGAACCAGCGCCCCTGCTCGGGTCCAGCCGGCCCGCCCGGCGCCCCTCGGTCGGTTACAGCCACCTCCGCGCCCTCTCTCCGCCTCGGGGTCTGGCCGTGGAAGCGGACTGAAGGTGCGGCCGGCCAAACTCGGGCCACGCAGAGACACGACCGTGCCGGGGCGGGGAGCGGGTGACTCACGCCGGGTACAACTAGCTCCTACGCCTCAGCTGGGCTCGCCCCTTCCCCTTCCTCAAGCCCTGCCACAGACTCCGCGAGGAAAACTGGGCCCTCCTCGCCACCAGCCTTTCAGAAACTCCCTCTGACTTCCCTCACCGGTCCTCTTCAGAGCCCCTCTTGGGTCTTGGCGGCTAACGACAAACTTTTTCCTTACCTCTGCCAAGCCGGCCTCTCCCGAGAGTGAAGGAAAGGCTTGGCGTAGACTCGCTCTCGCCTGCCGCAGCCGCCGCGCCCACCGACCGCTCCGCCCCTTCCCCTCTTCTTTCCTCCCCTCCCCCAGGCTCGCGCTCCTGCCAGCCGCCGGAGCTCTGGGCGGGGAGGGGCGCGCATGCGCGCCGAGGGTGGCGCCGCTAGGCACAGAACCGGAAACTTAGAGACAAAGTTCGGAGCCCCGCCCCCGCCGCGCGCTGCCCAGCCGTCTGGCCCCGCCGAGCCGCGACCCACCGACCCACGAATTGGCCTGGCTTTCGCGTGCGCCATGTCTGGTTCCTCCAGCGTCGCCGCTATGAAGAAAGTGGTTCAACAGCTCCGGATGGAGGCCGGGCTCAACCGTGTTAAAGTGAGCGGGGGCGGGCGGCCTAGGGGGAGGGGAAGGCAGTCGCGGCGGGTGGGATCCCGCGGCCGAGCTGGCTGGGGCGGGCGGGACGCGCGGCGGCTCTCGCTTCCCCTGGGGAGGACGCGCGCTCGGCTGCGACGATCCGCGAGCTGCCAACTCTAGAGAGGACGCCTCGCGGGTCGGCGCTGTGGCTTGGGTGGCCAATTAGTCCGTCCTTCCGCCCCAGGACTTTCCAAGGCGGCCCGCATTTCGGTCCTCCGCCCTCTCTCCCTCCCCGGCCGTGACTCCTCAGTAAGCCTGGCCAACAGCTGCTCCTCCGCGCGCCGTCGCGCCCTTCCCTTCCCTTTCTACCAGCCTCACCTTTTCTCGTCACTCGACTGGGTGTTTTCCGACTTTTGATTCAGAGCGGACTTATGTCTTCTTTTCATTTCCGATTTTTCCCAAACCTAGTCTCTTTAGTAGTAGATTCTTACCTCCAGCTTCTCTCGTCCACTGAACACACACTAGAAAACGAATTCTTGCGTAACTTAAACTATGGATTAAAGAAGCAAGTTTCCGAAACGTACTTGGAGTCTCTTGTTACCATTGGTGCCCCGTGCAGTCTCGAACAAAGAGTACATTTCATGCCTCTTCGGCACGGTTTGCCTATATCTGACCTTGTGGATATCTACTGGTCTGCATGCCCGAGAAAGTTATTAGGGTGGGCCAGTATTAATTAGTCTTATTTATTTTGGCGTTTGGTTAGCACTGGCCTTGTCCTGCAGTATTTATTTTTTTGGGAAAAATCCGTTTGTCTGTTTGGATATGACAACCTGACATTCGGGTGCTATTCTAAATGAAGTATTTCCTGATCTTTAAAATCCTAAATAGATTGGCTTCTTTCTGGTGCAATAGGTTACATGTGTCACACTTTTTGTGATTAAAAAGGAAACATGTAAGTCATGTACCCTGTTAGAAGCAGCCAGTTTCCAAGATGATTTAATTTTATGCTATTAGGCTAGTCTTAATTTCTTCCTGAAATGTTTTGTGGAGTGAGAGAGGGCCTGTCATTTAGCTTTCTTTAACTAGAAATGTTAGGGATCTAGCTTGCTCAGTTGTCACCTCAGGAGGGAAGGGAAATTCCTATTGGTTTTGGTGTGGGAATTCCCTCACTTTCCGTCCTTTAAGTGCTATAGTTGGTACAGCTGTTTGGAACCTATTTCTCAGATCTTCCAATTCTCATCTCGTACCAGTGGTTTATTATGGTCTGGCTAAATTTAGCTCTGAAGTTTGAAATCATATATTTTTTAAACAACTATTATACTATTATTCAGGTGTGCCCTTATCATAGATTGAATGGGCCAGGAAAGAAAAAAAATGGGAAGAGAAAAACAAAAAAAAAAAAAGGTTAGTGAAAACTAATTTTAAGTAGAGGTACTTAGCCCTAGTCTTCAAAGAAAATGAAGTCCTCAAACTAATGTACTCCAGGAGCTTTACTTTGAAGGATCCTAGCCACTGCCCTCCCCAAACTTGATCCTACCTGTATATCTAATTCTGGTATACAGTTTTTGGTTGGGATCATTAAAGGCCACCACAATTTGGTATTGGAGTTCATGTGTGCCTGATGTAGCAAGGAGGGGAGGGCATCTCTTTGGGATTTTAAATGAGCTTTTCTTTAGATATGTTGTTAAATGTGGATAGGTTCCATGTCACTTTGTCCATGTTATTTTATCTATGACTCTGTGCTAGGTGTTTATTGATGATATTTTCAAACTAGCATGAACTTACTATATTTTAACCTTTATGTTTGAATAGAGTTGATAAGAATTATCACAAATGCTTGACAGACTCTCCCATAGGTAGGTCAGGACACTTGAGAATGAAAAGGGGCACTAATTATGCCAGCATTGCAAGGTTTCAACCTCCTGGGCAGTTATTACAGTATCTTGGGGACTAGCAGCTTGTTCCAGTTTTAGTCTTTGTCTCAGCTTTCCCCACTTCTTGGAATGCTGTTTCTCACTGATGGTTATTTGGCTGGATCTCTTGTCATTGAAATCTCAGCTTAAATGTCACCTCAGACACCTACCCTTATTGTGGTCACCCAATCACTAACAAATCACTCTTTTTACTACAGAGCACCCTGTCTGTCTTTTCCCCAGAACTGTCAGCTCCATTAACAGCAAGATTGTTCTTACTTATGTATTCTCAGTGCCTAGAAGTATATTGGGCTCAAAATGGTGCTTGAGAAATTTGTGAAAAGGAGTTAGTTGGATCCTACCTATACTTTAGACAGAAAATTAACAGTGTGTGTTTCCTGATGGTTAATGTGAATGAAAACAAATAACTTCAACATTATGAAAAATGATACTACTCATTCCCCTACATTATCTACACTTGTTTTTTGAGGGGAGGGGACAAGGAGGGCATAGTCATTTGTAAAAGTACTAGGTACCATGATTTAAAAAGTACTTCTTTGTCAAGGATTTAGTTAATCTATGGAATTCATTAACCTGGGTTATTGTGTCAGCCAAACACCAAATAGATTTGAGAAGAGTTTAGATTCATCTCAGTATGAGGAATTATTTTTATCAGGTCTGGGGTACAGCTGTAATCTGCAGGGGTTTTTGGGATAGAGAGCATTTTAATTTCCTTTCAAAGGCCACATATCCAGCTGGACTAGACATCTGCTCTTACCCTCCTTGGGGATAGTTAAGACTGAGAATAAAATAAATGATTATTTCTCTTATTTTCCAAAACCTCAATTTAAGACTTAGGATATTGGATGCATCTTTTAGCCATTCATGTTCTACATCTGAACCATTCATTGTTTTTATAATAGTGTACCATCAGCTGTTTAATATTATAAAACTGTTGACAGTGACAGCTTTCTGCACAGCGTCATGTGACTGAAAGACTGATGGCAAACTTCCAAGTTTAACAACTTTTCTGAGCAGCCTGCTTTTGAGAGAAACTATATTTGCCCTAAATGTGACTGAACAATGTTCATATATGTGTGCAATGCTACCCCAAATGGGACTTAAGGAACATCTGTGGCTTTACAGTTATTTATATCCTATATCACCTTACCAGAATACATACAAATAGTAGATGTGTAACTGAATGAATGATATGCCGCTTTTAATCAGTTTTAGTTTAAATGCAAAGGAGCATAAGAGTCTACAAATTTGAAGAACAGTATACTGAATGCATTCATATACAGTTTGTTTTTCTAAATTATATGCTAGTTATCCCACATTATGTTCATTCACAGTAGCATTCTTCCAGTAATACTGCTTTCAAGACAAAGTAACAGTTTGCTGGAATGTTAATGCTCTTTTTGTTTAACATCTAATACTATGTATTGTTTTTAATAAAAAGACGATGTTAAGTACCCTCAGGTTTACACCTGAACAGCCTATTATTAATAAGGAAGATGTGCTTTGCAAGCAAACATAGTTGTACTGAATCATTTGATGCTTCAAATAAGCAAAAGAAAACATAAAACAGTCTTATTTTAAAGCAGTGTTTTTAAGTATAAGAGCTCAGCATAAGACTAGTCTTTAATTCGTATATAATATTTTCTTTTGAAGCAAGAGAAGTGCTGTTTATTTCAAGTACAGTATTTCCAAAGATTTGTGAAAACCTTCATTAAAACCTCACCACCTGGCACTTTCCCGCTTTCTGTTATGTATAGGTTTCCCAGGCAGCTGCAGACTTGAAACAATTCTGTCTGCAGAATGCTCAACATGATCCTCTGCTGACTGGAGTATCTTCAAGTACAAATCCCTTCAGACCCCAGAAAGTCTGTTCCTTTTTGTAGGAAAAATGAATCTTTCAAAGGTAAGTTTCCTTAAATAAATTCATAAAACCCTTCATAGTAGGAATAACTAGTCAATCTTTGCAGTGCCTTAAAAGATCATTCCTTTGGCTCTCCAAGTTTGCAGTCTTTCTGTTTTATAAGAAAAGTGAAGATTGATGAAACTTGCTGATTTAGTAGTGATTAAAACTAATTGTTTTATTTAACCATAATGAAGGTTAAATAGAGGATTTAATAACCACACGGAGGGTCTAAGAATTACTACAAAATTCCACTGCTGTAACAAGCCATGTGTTATTTTTTATAGCATTAAGCCTAATAGCTTGTATATTTTGGGATCCCTAAGTACTAGTCTTGTTTTTGTGCAAGGATCAAATTTTTAATAGTTGAAGAAAATCTGCAATGTTTATGGGGATGGCTTTTAATTAAGTACTGCCAGTTAGTTTGGATTAATTCTGGTGCTATCGCTCTAATAGAACCCAGTTATAGGATAGTATAGCAAAGAATTGGGAACTGGGAATGCAAGAGAAAATTAGGAGATAGTTTAATAAGCAGCCATGGTGTGGGCATTAGGAATGAGGAATATCAGGTTTTACTTTTTATTCTTATTGGGACAGAGATAAACATGAAGGAAATGAGGTAATATGAGTTTTTGGTGGCAAAGAATTTCAGAGTGGATTGAATTTTAGAGAATTAAGAACTAAGGACCTGCTGGCTTTTTATTAAAGCATGCATAAGCATATTAATTTGTACCTTACAGATTACATATCATGTGTGCAAAAATGTTTTATTAGTCCAAAAGAGACAGGACCAAAACAGGCTTTGAATAATTCAAAATGTAACTCAAGGGTGCTACCTTTTATCAATTCTCAGTACTTTACTTAGGACATGTACTCAGTAAAATTGACCTGTGAGAAGCAAACTTAAATAGTGCTTAAAAAAAAAAGATTTTGTATATGGCACACACCCTTTACTAGCATTCTCACTCTGCAAAGTCCAGGAAGCTGCTTCCTAAAATACCTTGTTAAATGGTTGTGCCCTCCCTTATTAAGCTTTGTGGACTTGGGAGTGTCCAGGAAGTCTGTGTATAAGTACATTTCCAGTAAATACAAATACAATCGTTAAGAGTGTTTAAGTTTTTTGAAATACTGGGGTGGGGGGGAGGCGGGTACATGTGAGTAACAGGTGTCGTGTGTGTAAAAGTGCACATGAGGAAGTAATTCTTTTTAAGTCTAGCATCTTCATATTGTAACAGTTTATTCATTTAATTTTAAATGGCAGTTTTGGGAAGTTTCCTATTTTTATGGTTTATTAATGATTCTTTTTTAACCTCAGTTCTTGTTTACACAGTAGTTTATTTTCATTTGAATAAAGTACTGTTAAGAGTCCTGGGCAGCTATTAGTAGTTTTATTTCACAGGAGTCCACAGATATGGCTGGGGTAAAAGAATCCAGATTTCAAATAATGGCTGTTAATCCTAGCAGTTTCAGAAAACAGCTTTGTGGATATGGTGATTTGAAGCAATTTGGAATAGGGAAAGAATATTTGAGTATTAAAGCATTTTTTCTCAAACTTGAATGTATCTACAAATCACTTTGTTAAAATGCAAATTCTAATTTAGTAGGTCGGAGGTAAGGCCCTAGAACCTGCATTTTTTACAATCTGCCATGTTACAATAATGCTGTTGACATTGAGTGGCATAATTGTAAAAAAATCTACCTTGGAGTTTTTACATACTCATAAATGTAGCTTTTAAAAATTATAAGGTTTTTGTAATTTAAAAAATTTAGCATAGGTGATTTAGCAACAGGCAGTATAAGAAAAATAGAAATTACCATGATCAGCACACCTAGAAATAACTGCTGTTAACAGATTGTAATTTCCTTTTAAGAAAAATTTTTTTTTTTTTAGACAGAGTCTCACTTGGTCACCCAGGCTAGAGTGAGTGCCATGGCATCAGCCTAGCTCACAGCAACCTCAAACTCCTGGGCTCAGGCGATCCTCCTGTCTCAGCCTCCCAAGTAGCTGGGACTACAGGCATGTGCCACCATGCCCGGCTAATTTTTTGTATATGTATTTTTAGTTGTTCAATTCATTTCTTTCTATTTTTAGTAGAGACGGGGTCTTGCTCAGGCTGGTTTTGAACTCTTGACCTCGAGCAATCCGCCCGCCTTGGCCTCCCAGAGTGCTAGGATTACAGGCGTGAGCCACCGTGCCCGGCCCAAGAAAAATGTTTTTACTTATTTTTTATTTTTTGAGATTCCAGCTTTTCAATTTCCCCTTTTGTACAAAGTTGAAGAATAATACAGGATTAAAAGCTGCAAAAGTAGTTAATCGTTAGAACATATGTGCGTCAAAAACCTGGATAGGAAGACAGGCTTATTTACAATAAGGAAACACATGTAAAATTAAGGTAGCTTTTATATGAAACACTTAAAAAAAATGCTACAATGGGTGCCACAAAAATATTTTTATTTTTAAAAAATAAGGCTCATATTTGCAGTTTGTCATTCTGCCTTTTAAAAACAGTGAATTTTCACATTTCATTAAATATCTTTGTAAACAAGATGATATCAATGGTTGTTCTGTAACTTAATTATACTCTTGAATAGTTAAATTTCCAAATTTGAGGTTACAATGAGTCCTTGATATATATGTATGCTTTACCTCTATTAAGATAAATTTATAGAAGTTAGCAAGGAATGAAGATTTAAAAATTTAACAATACTGTAGTTGATAACCCCTGTCAATATAATACTTTAGTCTTCCACCTAGAGCATGAGGGCTTTATCCCTGAGCCCTTGTCCAACAAACTCTGCTACTCTTTAAGTGAGGTTAACCATTTTTCGTGTTTTTTCATGATTCTGTTTGTGACTCTTAAACATTTTTGTTATGAAGTATCTCATTTTCAAAGTAAGTACAAAGATGAAGCATGTATCTACTATCCTCAATTAAATGTTTCACACTGTTAATTTTTTAAAAATAAATAAAAGAGTTCATACTTTTTCTACCTTTCCATATAGGGAACTTATCCTGAAATTGTATGCTTGTGTTTTTATTTTTTAGTACACATAATTATTCCATCGCATGTATAAATCTTAGTTTATCTATCTATTCCCCTACTGAATTATATTTAGGCTGTTTCCAGTTTTTTCCTTAAAACACTACTATAGTCAAATATCTGTGTTACATGTTTCTCTGTGTATAGGTTTATCTAGGTAAATAGAAGTGTTGTATGTCTTCTACTTTACTAGATATTGCCAAACTGCTCTCCTAAATACTCTTTTGCTTATTTTTCCAGAGATGTTCATTCAGCTTTTTCTTGACTTAAGAGTTTTTATATTAATCTTTTTTACTATGATACAAGTGCATTTTGGGAGTGATCTTAGCAAGTTAATCTGTAGGTCTTTTTATTTATAAAACAAGAATGATACATACTTTCAGGCTGGTTGTGAAAAGAGAAAGTTAGATTTTACTGTTACTGTACCATAGGCATTTCCCATCCTTTTCTCATTCTTTCTTAAAAATCCTGTGATGTATCTGCTCTTTAAATATAAAGAAATAGGCTTGGTTTAATTGAAAGTGCTTTATAAACCAACATTTGTATGAATGCCCTAAAATACCGTGTTCAGAAAAATAGACAAAGTACATGAGCAATTTATTAAAAACTGAGAAATACAAAAACAGGGATAATTGTTAATTATTCATGAAAAAAACCTATTTTCTTTGATACTTTACCCTAATTAACCTTTTTTTTTTTTTTTTTTCCATTTCAGGTTTCTCAAACCACTTCTTATGAACTGGTGAATATTCAAGAAACAACTAAATTTGAAGCCTGTACAAAAGCTTAGCCTTATAACAATACATGTGCCATAATATGCAAACTTCTACTTTTGTCAGTACTTAACATCTACCTCTCTGAATTTTCATGAACTTCTATTTCACAAGGGTAATTGTTTTATATACACTGGTGGCTGCATACAATAAAATACTTAGCATAAAAGTGTTTTACTTCCTTATTGGCTTAAATACACTTATGTATTAGTCTATTTGAACACCTGAACAGGTTGTTTTTTGAGTTTGTTCCACTAACTCTTCTCATGTGACTTTACTGCCATACATTTGCAGGACTGCTAGGGAATTAAAGATAAGTTGTAAACTTTTACTCTTTTAAGGTCAAGAGGAGACTGTTAAATTCTATAGTTTCTATCTGTGAGTCATTTACAGGGTTAACTTTGTTTTAATAAATATTTCAAACTCCTTTGGATAGGGGCATTACCAGTTACCCCTAAAAGTCAGTTATTTCCTAATACATGGCTCTCCTAACAAAGATGGCAGTAGAGAAAAGACTGCAATTAAGAATTCCATTGGAAGATACAAGAAAAACTTCAGAACTTGAGACAATGCCTGAATTGAAGCACGATGTAGTGAGGTACACAGGAGCCAAAAAAAACCACCAGGAACTAAATATTAGCTTCAGTAATTTGCAACTTTTTTCAAGTCCTGGTAATACATTTTGCTTAATTTTTTTTTTACCCTTCTGAAAGGATTAAGGGAATATTAAAACATCCCAGAAACCTGGCCTCCAATTTAAGACTATGTGCCAGGCACTAGGTATCTAAGATTAATCTGGTATAAAGGGTTACCTGGTATTTACCAAGCATTTTATTTCTCTCCAGCCCACATGGTCTATGAAAATGCAAATGGAAAAGTTAATCTGAATCTTGATTCCAACTTAAATTATTCACAATTACCAAAAAATAACAGAATTAAGTTTTAGGAAACCTAAACTGTCACCTAAATGACTTTTATTTATATTTGCTACATAAACATACCAACATTTGGCAATTTGTCCAGACATGAAAGGTTTATGAAATCAGTAAATTTTGAAAAGGCTGCTCTGTTAAAAATAATTTAGAAAGTTCTGTTCAGCAAAATCTAATACTATTCCCTCAGCACTTTATAAATGGAATTTTCTTCTACTTGTATCCATTTCCCGGGGCTGAAAATTAGAAGGAGAGAGGAGAAAAGAAAATTAGTGAAAAATTCAGGTAAGAGTAAAAATTAACTTCCTTAGATCTTTTATAGATAACACTAACGCTGAAAAATTCTGTTTGTCTCTGAGACCCTGAGTAGTCAGTCTCAAGTCTAATATAAAAGGTGTTGGTGGTTACTCTTCTGTGTGTGTGTGATTTTAGAGTAAAAATGTTAAGTACTGCTTACTAAATAGAAAAGAATGTTTTGTAACATTGAGGTTTTCGTTTATGACTTTAAGATCATCTCCAAACCTCTATAGCAATAGTTCTTAGGAAACATGCAGTAGAATCATATAATAAACAGATTATTGGGCCCTACCCTCTAAGTTACTGATGGAGTAGGTCTGTGGCCTAAGAATTTCCATTCCTAATAGGTTCCTAAGTCCCACATTGAGAACCACTGATCTTTAAGAAACCTCAAATGAACCAGGGTTAATCACCAATCCCAGATACTGTATGTCACACAGTTCTTTCTAGCTTATAGGAAAAGAAATTCAGAAGCATAATTTAAGATCTAAACATGCAAAATTTAGAACGCATGGTTTCCTTCTTATTCCATACTTTTTTTGGCAGGAATGAAGGAGGGGTAGACAGGGTTTCACTCTGTTGCTGTGGTTGGAGTGCAGTGGCATCACTGTATTATTAGCTCAATGCAACCTCAAACTCTTGGGCTCAAGCAATCCTCCTGCCTTAGCTTCCCAAGTAGCTGGGATTAAGGGTGTACCCAGCCCTTAAATGGCTTTTTAAACGATACTTATGGACCCATTCATACTCTCCGTACTTAGAATCAAAGGTTCCTTTCTGAAGAGATCTTAATTTTAAGGTAAATCGTGGTCCAAGTTCCTGAATTCCCACTTTCTTTTCACTCTTGAATATGTATCTTTAAAGACAAAAGAGTTAATGAGGAAATTAGTTTGAATGAACCCAACTGTTATTTAACATGACAGGGTTTAAAAGATAATTTATTTTCTTCTCTATAAAACTTGTTACATTAGAAAACAGGTTCATGTTGAAAATATATTTCATGAATGAAGTCAAAATCCAAGGAGTTAAAGTGCCTCACCTATGAAATCTAAAGAAGATATAATCTCGCTGATTATGGAATGTGGCAACCTGCCTTCCAATAAATTGAGGATTATGAGGAAAGAGAGATGCAACCATACGTCCAATTGAGTGACCCAGCCGTGTTGTAAAATTATTCAGAATTACTTCAGGTATGTGTTCTGTGGGGTCCTTACCTCTTCTCTAGGAAACAAAATGAAGAATACCAACAATGAATCAAAGATAACTGGCAAAACAATAATTCAATTTCAAGTATTAGAATTTATGTGACAAATTTGAAAAATTTAGTTTTCTTTATGACAAACTACTACAGATAGCTTATCAAACCCATGAAATAAGATGTATCTATTTTAATAAGATGTATTATTTTAATATTCAGTGAATGCCTCTAGGCTATAACTCAATCAGAATTTCACAAGAAAACCATCAACATTGATAAAATTACTACACAAATTAAGAACAAATACCATTACTAAAATCATTTATTTGATCTGTAAGAGACAGCATCTACTAATCAAATACGATGAGGGATCAATACCAGTCAAAGGATGCATAAAACCTACCTTAATTTCTTTACGAAGACGAACACTGCTCATTTTAAAATGAGCGGTTGGACCATTTGGCAAGTGACTCAAAATAAGTCCATCTGTTCACAAAGGTTAAGAAAAAGACATTGAACTCTACAATCTACATCCAGTTGTTTAAATAACTGGTCTTCCGTATGTCCAAAGATCTCTAAAATCAATAGCTAAGTGAAAAGGTTGGGGAGGTGCACACATTGCTCTGGGTTAACTGAAGTTTTCCTACCATACCCAAAACTCAAAACACATCAGTCAACCCAAATCTTTCAAGAAAATTGATTAACTTAGTGTAGTCCTCTTTTTCTTTTTACAATAACAAATAGCTTGTCGTCTCCCTTAATAGGGTTATCTTGAGGCACCCTAAAGTAGGTGAAAAAAGCTATTTAATTGGCCACTACTCTAGCAGGAATAAGCTAGAATGGGATTCTAGAATAATTTAGCATTGTAAATAGAATATAAATTTACATCCAGGTTCTGAAATTGTAACCCAGAAGTGCCACTTTTAGACATTTATATGGTCAGGATATGCTGTCAGCTTTGAACATCATCCCATAAGACCAGAGACTCCTAAGTTCTCTTCTTAAAATCAAGATTATTAGCATTTCCTCAAGAGAAAAGCCCTTACTCTTAGGACTGTGTCATAAATTATGATCAACCAAGTAATTAGTAACCACTTACTATCTACCACAGAGAATTATGCTAGACACTCTAAACTGCAAATGAAATGTGAAAACTTTTATTACAGTCAACAGGGTTAGTAGCCCAAAGGCTCTAAAAGTCCTGGACGCAGCTAGCTTAGATTACTATATACATAACATTCCTTAAGTCTTTGTAGCACAGCTTGGCTTTAAGCTAACCTATGACACCCTTACTTTTCAATGAATAGTTTTTGGCTGCTGTTCCACAGTATTATGAGCAGGCAGAATGAATGGCAATGAATAGGGCTTTCATTAGAAGTTGTGGTTATCTTCAACTTTCCCCACCAAATCTTACTGCTTTTACCCTTACAGTTCTTCACTTTAACAGCCTCCTCTTTACCCTCACTGTTATTGTTTCCATTGAGGTCTTTGTGCTTTTCCACCTAGATTATTAAAACAGTATTTGACTTCCTCTCTCTCGCCATTTCAAGTACATCATCTAATAAACTGTAAATCAAGTCTGGATTTAGGCCTTGGTTCTATAAGTAATCAGCTATGGGCCTGAGCTGTGTCATTGTATCTGTACCATAGTTTCTCATGTGCTTAGTGAAAAACCAGATAACTTCACATTTTTGACAGCTGTGGCTAATTTCACACTACTCTATCATCACAGACTCATCTACAGAGTCAAGACATCAGTACAACACTCATAAATGGCTACAAACTTCCCTATATTCCCTATACCCCCACCAAAGCTGCTCTATCATCACAGACTCATCTATAGAATCAAGACATCAGTACAACACTCATAAGTGGCTACAAACTTCCCTATGTTCCCTATACCCCCATCAAAGCTGTTCCCTAATTGGTAAATACACAATCTTATATATTACACATGTTTATCCTATCATGCATTTTTTGCTCATGTTTTCAAATACCTGTGATATTTCACTCATCCATTAAGGCCCACTTCAAATATTATCTCTATTTACAGTCAGAATTAAGCTCTAAATATTTTCAGCTCTCACTGTTACTTACCAAAGCACTGATTGCTTATTTGAGTTATAGTCATGAAAATGTCTTTCTTCTCAACTAATCCATTAACCCTTAGATCTGTTTCTGACATATACTAGTGCCTACCACATTGCAGATTATCAGCAAACATTTGAATTCTTTCCCTTCTATATTTAAAATTCACCACGGGTTCAACTTAATGCAGTACAGCCCAAAATATTTTTTTCTTAAATTTATTATTTTTTTTAAGAGATGGGGTCTCATTATGTTTTCCACGCTGCTCAAACTCCTGGCCTTAAGTGATCCTCCCACCTCAGCCACTGGGGTTACAGGTACAAGTCACCATGCCTAGCTGCCAAAAGTATTTCTTTTGCACACTGACTATTTTCTCAATGTGCAAAGTATCATTTGTACATTGAGAAAATTATAAAATATTAAGGGATAGGTTACGTAAAAGTCATTTCTTCCAACCCAAATCAAGTCTTGAATCCTTTCTAGAACATTCTCACTAAACTGCGGTTTGTGTCGAAAGTAAAGCACAAAATCCAAACTATCAGTTTCTAAAACCTTCCTTTCTTGAGTACCTGTACTGCACAAGAAGCTTTATTTCTATTATTGCTAACTCCTAACATAAATCATGCAAAACAAGAGTCATTATGACTATTTCAGTAATGAGAAAGAGGATGAGGATGGACAAGGAAATTAGCTGAACTCCCAGACCTAGGCAGCTGGCCACATTTGGAAATGTATAGAGGCATTTTGTATGTCAGGATGACTGAGGCATTACTGGTATTTAGTGCCTGAAGGCCAGGAATGCAAAATCTCTTACAAGCTGCCAAGAGTATAGTAGCAAGAATTATCCTACCTCAAATGCCAAACAGTTCTCCATTTAGAAATAACAAATAGAGGATGGAGGTCTGTACAGATAAACCTTCCATGCTTCCCACTATAGCACATTTATTAAAATGCCTACTGCATGCTGTACATGATGCCTTAGAAACATAATACATTTTGTGATTGTTGTGAGAACCCTAAAGACAGATATTACTTCCTATATTTAAAAAATGAGGAAACTGAGTGGCTAAGAAACGAGTAATGTCACAAAACTTGTAAATACTGGAGTCTGTATTTGATATCATATCTGCCCTGATCCAAAGCCACTAGACTACAGTTTAAACAGTTGACAAAATTCTTTAGTTCACCATTCTCTTTCACATAGTAGCCTTTCCAATATCTTTGGACAGCTGTCATATACCCAGAGACTAGCTTCCCATAGGCTGAATATTCAGTTTTTTCAACGTTTCCCCAAGTGTTTGCATTAGGAGTCATGATTTATTATTCCCCCCCAACTGTCTGCATTAGGAATCATGATTTATTATTCCTGAGCCCATGTTAAATCTCTAAGAATCACCATTATTTCTTTTTGGCTCTTAAACTGTTCTTCCTTGAACCAGCCTACATTTTCTGTCTGGATCATGGCAAAGATAAATCTGTAGTACTCTTTCCTAAAAATTCTAATTCCGTTTGCCTGTCTCATATCTTCCTCAAAGAATAACAGTTCGCTCAGATATTTTTTGAAGCTAGGATATCTGACCTCCTTAAGAATTCTTGACCTTATCTTACAATCTGTTTATCCTAGACGGACTTCCAAGCCCCTTACCAATGTCTTTATTTGAAGATCATTTTCTGTTAACAGAGAAGACAAAAGCAAAATAAGCCTTTTGTTTTCCTGGTGTCCCTCGCCAATACTTTGCCATCAGCTGCCTCACTAGACTTCAATCAGAAAAGATCAAGTATCTCTGAAATTATTAAACTCAACATCCAGGCAGGATTAGACTTACAAAAATTCTATTCATTGAGACTTTTAGAAACTATCTACTGCATAATTCTATCTCCTCAAGCATCCTTCCTCTGCCTTATACCTCTCATTCACTCTTATCCAGCTAGACCCAATGTAAGCCCCTCTTTCTCTGTGAAGTCTTTTCTCCCTGATATCTCCAGTGTTTAATAGTCACAGGGTTTCCACTATATTCTGTATTTCTTTCTTTAATTGTACCACCCACACTATATTTTGTTAGTTTGCATGTCTACTCCAACTATGAATTCCCTAAAGGCCATCTCTTGTTTTATCTCGAATTTTTAGTAAGGATTAAAACAGTGTCTTAACATGTGCCTGATCAATGTTTGCTGAATATAAAGGAAAAATCAGTTTACAGAATTTTGGATAGAGATGTGTAATTTTTGGCCAAAAAAAAAATTATTTTCTGAAGTTATAGGAAATATTTCCTTGTTTTTTTAAAATATATTTTAAAAGGGATGACGAAGGGGACAGGAAAATTGCCTTAAAAAAACCAAAGGATACTGGGAGTTTTACGATCTTCATTAATAACAATCAGGTCTGTGAAATCTCTTGAGATGCACTGTGGAATAATTTTTTCAGAGCCAGTCCTCTTCTGTAATAAACATGTGAGTTTGGTATAACTGTGGAGAGCTGTTCACAGAGTCTTACTGTTCTCTGTAAAACAAAATAACAAAAATTCTCAAAAGTAACAAAGAATAAAAATTTACGTGGTATATGATCATAAGGAAACAAATAATGATTATATAAGATAGTATTATTAATAAAACACAACACTGGGAAAGAATGAAATCTGAACAGTTTCATTTTTTCTCAAAGGCTGATCATCCTAGAGCAGAAGTTCTCAATAAGAGATGATTTTGCTCCACCAGGGGACATTTGGAAATGTCTGGAGATATTTTTGATGGGTAATTGGTGGTGGTGGTGGTGTATAGTTGCTACTGGCAACTAATGGGCAGAGCCAGGGATGCTGCTAAACATCTGATAATGAACAGGATAGCTTATCATATCCAAGAATTATCCAGCCCAAAATGTTAATAGTGCTGAGGTTGAAAAACCCTATTCTAAAGAACTGTGATTAGTGAATCTACATATCATCACCAGTACTACATTTTATTTAGCTTACTCACAGGCATTATCTAGGGCAATTAACTAACTCTTCTGAACACAGTAAACAGAAGTAATATAAGAAATTAAGAATTCAAGACTATACTAATTGATGTGTTTACCCCATGAGGCCTATCTGATGTTGTGATGAGAATCTTGGGAGAAGTCTGCCTGTTGAAGTAAGAAGCAAATTCATCTGTAGCTTCATCATAAGCAACCTGAGAACAGAAAAGAGATAATTTTACATAAAACAAATAATCTTCTGAGCCAAAATTTTAAAAGTAGTTTCAGTAGTACTATTGGACATTGACTACCTAGCTGATAAGGGATTTTAAAGAAGGACTAGGAAGGACTGACATTAATGGCAACACAAAGAAGTTGGGTGATTTTCCCTTTGTAGAATATAAGTATAGAAGTGAATAAATTTGTCAAAAATCATTTCAGGGCACAAATAGAAATGTGCTTATTCTTGAGCTACTTTAATTTTCCCCATCACCTTATTTGGTGAAAACAATAACTTTACCAACTCCAGGGCTAATGGTAGGCAAATAACCAGCAGTCTTGGATTCAGAGGTGGCAGGCTGGCTCAGGACTGAGGAAGGGAAGGAATTAGTGGTGGGGGTGGTGGTGAAAATTCACAGCTTTGCCAGTCCAATGTTGCAGACCCAGTTCAAGGGTAGTGTGGACCAGCCAGAAATTTAAAGGAATGCTCTCGAAGTGAAAAAGCCATAGAATGGCTAAGATAATCTCCATAAATCCCTGGCTGACAGCTAACTGTACACGTGTCGGGGAAGAACTCAGTGAGCCCTGAAAGGCAAGGGAGACTTGAGAACTGGCTGCAACCCTGAATGTATTTGTCAACTCTCAAACAGCTGAGATGGCAGAAGGTATGTATGTTTTAGGGGCCACTCAAGGGGTCTCAACCTCTGCAGAATCACTAGTTGACCATTAAAGACACACAAACACAGAGGCAATCCCTAGGGAAACAGGTTAAAAATAACAATAATAACAACAACAACAAAAAACCCCAAAAAACTGAGCAGAGACACAGTGCTACTATGGACTCAAACTGTAGACAGATTCTACAGTTTAAGTCCAGGCAAATTACTAAAATAAAAAAACAACAGCCCTTACAAAATAAAACAGAATCCAGAGTCACTACAATATATTGTCTAAAATGTCTAGTTTTCAACCAAAAAAAATTATTAGATATGCAAAGAAACGAGAGTATGACTCATAATCAGAAAAAAATCAGTCAACAATAACTGACTCTAAGTGGGTTCAGATGTCAAATTTAGCAGACTTCAAAGCCACTATAATAAATATATCTAAGGATTTAAAGGAAAACACAGGCTTATGGCAGATCTGAAATGACAAATCAATGAATTTGAAAACATTAATAAATATTATCCAATCTGAAGAAGACATAGACAAAACAATCATAGAAAATGGAGCAAAGCTGGGAAACTCATAGGACAATGTCAAATGTTTCTATAGTATGTGTAAAGGCAGTCCCAGGAGGGGAGGAGAGAAAGAAAGAGGGAAAAAATTGAAGAAATAAGGGCTAAAAACACCCCAAATTTGATGAAAAACATTAATTTACAAACCCAAGAAGCTCTATAAACCCCAAGTAAAATAAAAAGAAAGAATACCTAAATGCATCAAAGCCAAACTGCTAAAAGTGAAAGGCAGAAAATTTTGAAGGAAATAAGAGAAAGTATAGGAAATGATGATTAGTGGAAATAATAAAGGCTAAAATGCAGTTAAATGGTATGTTCAGAGTACTAAAAGAAAAGTCAAGAATTTTACATCCTGCAAAATTATCTTTTAAAAAGGAAGGCAAAATAAGTACATTTTCAGATAAACAAAAACTGATATTACTAGCTCCAATTAAATTTGCTATACCTTGATTTCACCACAATGCAATATATCAATGTAGCAAAACTGTACTTGTACCTTGTGCGTGTATACAAATAAGAAATAAATGGAAAAAAATTGCTATAAAAACAAATATAATACCTAAAGAAACTCCTACAAGCTGACAGAAAATGACACTAGATGGTAACTCAGATCCAGAGGATGGAAAAAAGAACACTGTAAATGGTAAATATGTGGATAAACATAAATGACTGTGTGTATGCATGTATGTTTATGTACATGGTTAATTTCTTTTAAACACATGAGATTGTTTAAAGCAGTAATTACACTAGGTTTATAACATAGACAATGTAGTATATATGACAGTAACAGCACAAACAAGGGTGGAGGAAATGAAGCTATACTAGTACAAATTTGCTATATTTACCAGAATTGTGTGAGCATTTATTTGAAGTAGACTAATAAATTTAAGATGCATGTTATAATTCCTAGAGCAACTAAGAAAAATAAAGCTTAAATCAAGAGGAATTAAAATGGCATACTAGAAAAATATTTAATACAAAAAAAGCAAAGATGAACAGAGAAAAAATAAAGATGTACAAAATTTTGAGAGAAAAAGCCAAATGGTAGATATAAATTGAACTACATCAACAAACAACATTACATGTTAATTGTCAGACTAAATAAAAACAAGATTCAACCATATGCTGTCTGTAAGTGACACACTTTTTAAGTGGTTTTATGTATATTAGACAAAATACATATTAAGAAAAGACATACTGCTAGATGAGACATTTTATATTGGATTAAGGGCCAGTATATCAGGAAGATGTAATTTCAATTATGTAATTAGATGTCTAACAATATAATTATAATTGTATATGCACTAAACAAAAGAACTCCTAAAAGACATGAAGCAAAAACCGAAAGGAAGAAACTGACAATTCAACAAGTGTGCATGGAGATTTCAATACTCCTCTCTCAGTAACTGATTTAACAAAATAGAAATTCAGAAAGAATACAGAAGAACACTATCACCCGACTTGAATCAACTCTCACATACATAACCCCATCTCAAAACAGCAGAATACCTGCTTTCAAGGGCTTCATAAAACATTCTCCTCAAGCAGACCATATACTAGAACATAAAAGTCTCTTTATTTGAAAAGGACTGATAATAAACTATGCTTCACAACCACAGTATCAAATTAGAAATCAACAGCAAGAAAGAAACCTAGAAGGTTCTCAAATACCTGGAAATTAAACAACATATTTAATAACTGATAAGCCAAAGAAGAAATCACAGGAGAAATAAGAAAATATCTTGAACAGACTGGAAAACAAAAACACACACACAAAATCAAAACTTATGTGCTATAGTTAAAGCAGTGCTTGGGGGACAACCAGCACTTTAAATGCTTACGTTAGAAAGAATGAAAAAGTTCCATCTAGGAAAAAAAGCTGGCGAGGGGGTAGGAGGGGAGAGCAAATGAAACCCAAGGTAAGCAGAAGAAAAAAATTATAAAGATTAGGGGAAAACTAATGAAATAAAAAAATACAACAAGCAAAAAAACTAACGACATTATAAAAAGAAATCGACAAATCTTCCATTAAAAGATATATTCACATTAACTCAATGAAAGCAGCACATTTTAAAATTTGTAGGATATACCAAAAGTGGTACTTTGAAATAAATAAAGATAAAAGGAAATATAAATGAATTAGAAAACAAAGATTCAATAAAATCAAACAAAAAAGTACTTTGAAAACACTAACAAAATATAATAGATAATATCTCTGGTGAAAACTGATTAAGAGCAAAAGCCCAAATAAATAATACTAGGAATGAAAAGGGGACATTACTATAGTCTTACTCATGAACACAGATATGCATTAAATCCAAGCAAAGTATTAACAAACCAAAACAATGTGTAAAAAAAGATAAAACATCATAACCAAATTGGGTTCATCTCAAAAATGCAGAAGAGATTTAACAATAAAAAATCCATAGAGGTCATTTACTACATTAATGCAATAAAGGAGAAAAACCACATAATCATCTCAATATTTGCAGAAAAAACAAAACATCTAATAACGTTCTACATTAATTCAGGATAAAACAAAATAAAAAACAGCATAATAAGAATATATAGAATTTCCTTAACTTACATGGAGAATCTACCACTAGTGACACAAAATGTTAATGATGATACATCATAAGTATTCTTTTTAAAATCAAAACATGGCAAACATGTCACTACTGCTTTTTCTATTTATTTGACATTATGCTGGAGGTTCTAATCTTTGCTGGAGGTAAAGAATAAACTGTTAGTGGAATGAAATAAGAAAGCTATCATTCAAAGAAATGATTATCTAAACAGAAAAATGAAAATAACATTCAAATTATTAGAAACGAATTTAGGTAAGCTACTGGTTAGAAAATCATTACCCAAAAAATGTGCTGCTTTCATTATTGCTTAAATGTAAGTATCTCTTTTAATGGAAGATTTGTCGACTTCTTTTTGTAAGCTTCCCAACTAGTCTGCTTACATCTCCAAGTATAATACATTCTCAGTACAGCAGCCAATTATTTTTATGATCACATCATTCTTCTATTCAAAACCATCCAATGTCTCCTCATTCTACTCAGTATAAAACCAAAGTCCTCATAATGGCCAACAAAGTCACCGATCTAGTCTTTCCCCTTCTCCATACTTTCCTAGCACCTCTTCTACAATCCTCCCCCTTGCTCACTTAATTTCAGTCACAACTGGCCTCCTTGCTATTTTTCAACAGCATAGTAAGCACACTCCTGCCTTAGAGCTTCTGCATTGGGTGGTCCCTCATCCTAGAGGTCTTTTTGCCCAAAGATGGCTAACTTCCTCACATCCTTCAGGTCTTTGCTAAAAGATCATCTTTTCAACAAAGCCTCCTTGATCATCCTATATAAGATCACAATCTTACCCAATAGAAAAACTAGCGAGAGAAACAAACTGATTGGGGGAAAAAAAGGATATGAAAAGATGTTCAACTTCATTCAAAACAAGAGAACTGCAAAACTACACTTGAGATACAACTGCTCACCTATTGGACTGAAAATATTTGTAATTGCAAAATCTTGAGTGAAAATTTGAGGAGTAACATTCATTTACATAATTTCAAAGTACATCCCCTCGAAATACTTATTAATTACAAAAGGATCTGAAAATCTGAAATGCTCCAAAATTCAAAACTTTTTAAGCACTGACATGATACCACAAGTGGAAAATGACCTGACTTTCTGTGGTGAGTCACAATCAAAGCCTTGTTTCATGCACAAAATTTATTAAAAAATCACATAAAAATTACATTCAGGCAATGTGTATATGGTGTATATGAAACATAAATAAATTTCATGTTTAGACTTGGATCCCATCCCCAAAATATCTCATTCTGAAAAAATCCAAAATCCAAAACACTTCTGGTCCCAAGCATTTTAGATAAGAGACACTTAATCTGCATTCCTGTAAAAAATCCATAAACTAAATATAATCAGAGGAAACATCAGACAAACTCATATTAAGGTACATTCTACAGAATATCTGATCTGTACTCTTCAAAAAAATCTCAATGTCATAAAAATAAACATTGAATAAGGGAACACTTGGTCCAAATTAAAGGAGTTTAAAGAATTATTACAATAGAATGTATGACCTGGGACTTTTCTTATGCTGAAAAAGACATTATTGGGATAACTGGTAACATCTGATAAGATCTATAGACTATATAAATGTTAATTGTCTGATTTTGGTAACTGTGCTGTACTTACAAAAAAACATTTGTTTTTAGGTAAAACACATTCAAATATATAGAAATAAAGGGCATCATGTCTGCCACTTACTGTCAAGCATTTCAGAGGTAATATTTAGGAAATCTGGGTGAAGGGTATACACAATTCCTACTTTTCTACTAAATCTGAAATTATGTCAAAATAAATAAAATTAAAATGCATATTCATATATACATAGCCACACCCCAAAACATACATATACATAAAATTGTAAACCCTCTCTCTTTCTACTCCAAGTAGTCCTGAATCTTTTCTACTATTTTACTTTAGTAATCTATCACCTGCTAATATTTGTCTCATTTATTTATTTTATTATGTTTATCTCTCTAGAATGTAAGCTTTGAGTGGGCAGAATGTGTGTGTGTGTGCATGTGTGAATGTGATAGAGTATTTTGTGCACTAATGGATCCCAAGTCCCTTAAACAGATAGCAGGCAAACATTTGCTGAAAGACTGACAGACTGAATCAGTGAATGACTACACCAGGAGATATGTGAAAGAATGTTGACAGCATCACCGTTTGAAAGCAAGTAAACATTACAAAATCAAGTTTCCTTTAAAAAATTTTTAAAAATATACAAAGTATTTAAACCTTGATTCTTTCACTGTACTGTTGCCAACTATTTAAATAGAACATGCAAAGTGGAAGATCTTGAAATCAAGAGTTTTATGAGGATACAAAAAATACCATGAATGTTATCCTTATGTATCAAAATGTCTAATACTACAAAAGTCTACAGTATGAGGAATTCTTTTAAAATATTAAAAAGTACTATTCAGAGATTATATGACAAATTTACTGGATTTATCAAAAGCATTATTGGGAAGTTCAATTATGATATAATCTAATGAAACAATTATCTCAATTATGAAAAAAATCACAAATGATACAATTTAATTGTGAAATAATCTACCAAATAATGGGATAATCCATTATATGACTTTACCAGTGAGCATTTTAAATTAAACATCAACACATAATTTATCAAGTGTGATCATTCAAATTCATTCATGACTTCTAACATTACCTCTTCATCATTAGGGTCTACTATGGTTTCATCATACACTCGTTGGTTATCAATGGTCTTGGGTATAGGCTTTGGTGGAGCCTAAATAAAAGAGAAAGGATTACATTTTAGAAACATTTTACATTAATTATTTTACATTAAAGTTGAAGTAAAATAATGGAAATCTTGAAATAACCCCAAAACTCAATCTGTTCCTATCAACCTACTGCTACTGCTACATAAATCCTAGTAACAATATTGAGTAAGAGGCATTTTAACAATCTAAACAGAGACACACACATACTATTAGAATGGCTAACAATCAATGAAATAGCTTAAAACCAGAGAGATGTCACAGAAAAGAAATAGGAGTCACAATTACTACTAAGGAGAAAAATATCAAATGGTATTTAAAAAAAAAAGGAAAGAATTACAAAAGTACCATGTGTGTGACTTTGTTTCACTATGTCCAGAAAGCTATTCAGAAATATGTAACAATTCTCAGGTTGGGGTAGGTAACAACAAAAAAATTTAAAAAATGAAGAAATACATAACAAAAGTCTACCCACTGACCCAGTAATTCTACTTTGGAGGATTTATGGTAAGGAATGTTAAGGAGGGGGAAATTTATACAAAGAAGTAATAACACTATTCATAATGAAGAGAAACAAGGCAAGGTCCCAAAACAGGGTACACATACTATGGCATGTCAACATTTGTGGAATACTGTTAGAATCAGCAATCATCCACTCAGTTTAGACCCAAAAATTGTGTAAATGAACAGTTAAGGAGCAGGAACACAGAATTATAAGAACACACTAACTGTAATTCAATATACATATATATGTACACCAGCAGAGATATAAAGAAGATATAAGCTGATAACTACTTAGGATTTAATTTTTCTATTACTGTATGAAATACATATTAAGTTTTAAGTAGTTTTTTAAAAGAGGCAGTTATAAGAAGTCATCTTTCAGTCCAAAACCAAGAATGGTGATATTTTCAAATGGTGATCAGCATATTAATTTACTATAATTGACTGATTATTGAAGAGTTAAAAGGAGACTAACATTAGTTGACACATCAGGATTTTGCAGTTAAAACAGTCTAATATTGACAATTTCAAATGGCTTAACCTAATGCTAAAAAGAATGGATGAAAAAGTAGAGTGTTTAGTGTTTGCATATAATCTTTGTATTTTTTCCCTTCCTCAAGCACCCTTATCCTTATTTGGTACCTTTATCTTAAGAGATGGGAATGTGGAAAGTTGTATGTTTTTAAAATTTTGCAACTATAAATCATAACTTATGAGTAACTATAAATGAAAATAATTTATCTGTGCAATAATCTAGGAGTATTTAATAGTTCTTTTTAAGTTTTTTCAATAGAAGAATGGGCACAGTAGCTCACACCTGTAATCCTAGCACTTTGGGAGGCCAAGGTGGGAGGACTGCTTTAGGTAAGGAGTTCAAGACCAGCCTGAGCAACATAGTAAGACCATGTCTCTACAAAAAATGGAAAAATTAGCCAGGCATCACAGTGGTGCACACTTGTAGTCCCAGCTACTTTGGGAGGCTGAGGCAGGAGGATCCCTTGAATTTGAGGTTGCAATGAGCTATGATAATGCCACTGCACTCTAGCCTGGGCAACAAAGCAAGACCCTGTCCCTCCTCCCCCAAAAATGTTTTTCAATAGATTTCACTTCTTACCAATACCACAAAAATAGCCAAATACTTTCTTGATGCATTCTCTGTTCTTTTCTTTGCTACAATCCATCCAAGAGTCTCATCCTTCTCCCATTCCCCATTCTCACTCTTCACAACTCTCATTCTTACATACACATACTTCATCCTACTCCAGAAGAGGTTCTGTTCTGCTTTTCCCAACCTTGCCTGACAAAGAGCCTTTGTTTCAACTCACAAGAGCTCCTGCTCCAGGCCTAACTTGGGAGCCTTCCCCATTCCCAAAGTCAGGGAGAGGTTTCTCTGCCTCTCAAACACATAAAGTTACAGGCAAAACACCACCACTGTGTTTACTGTTTAAGTATACAATCATACATAGTAAAGGTAAAAAATAAATGCATAGAAAAAATAAACAACAATTTCACATGAGTGGTTATCTCTGGAGGTAAAAGCAATCAGGAAGAAGCAGACATGGGGCTTCCAACATTATTTGCCTTAGCAAATGCATTATTTCTTAAGCTGGGTAGAAGATAGTAAGGGTTTTGTTACATTATTTTTGTAGGTTTTTATACTTCTGAAATATTTCATAATAAAATTTTAAAAGAAAGTAATTCAATATAAATATCAGGACACATTCCTTAATATAAGATAGAAAGAAGATGGCTAAAAATTTTACTTACCTTATCACCAAGAGCCTCTCTCTCTTTTTTAAGTCTTTTCTTGGCTGCCAACTTTTCCTAAAGATTTAAAAAAAGAATATTGAAAAACAAGGATTTATATCACAAATACATAACAAAACTACAAATTACTAATGCTATGAATATTTAAACTGGGCAATCCTTATAATCTTTTAAAAATCTGGACATAGGTTTTTATACCTAAATGACTGTAAACCAAATAAGCTGGTCAATCAATCAGATTTAATAAAGATCTTGCCGCTTAAAAAATCTAAATTGGACAGTTTGAGCATTAAACTTCACTAGCTTTATCTTTTAACCTCAAATTAATATCTTTTAAGCCTCAAATTAACTTAATGAAAGCACAAAATGTATATCTAAACAAGTTTACAGATTTTGTTGTGTTGTTTTTCTAACCAGCTGCATCTTAAGACCATGGTTATGCTGACTGCTTCTCTTAAAAAAGCACTAAAAATAAGGAGAAATAGAAGATGAGTTTTCCAACTGTTTCTAATAAAACTGTCTCTAGTTATCCACATATTTTATAATCAAAATATGTGTTTAGAACTAGTAAGAATTTACAAGATGGGTCAGGATTATTCAATTATCAATCTACATCTTCTGGAGATTTCTAGACAGAATGTTAGACACGTAATAGAAATATTATTATTATTTTTTTTTTTTGAGACAGAGTCTCGCTTTGTTGTCCAGGCTAGAGTGAGTGCCGTGGCGTCAGCCTAGCTCACAGCAACCTCAAACTCCTGGGCTCGAGCGATCCTTCTGCCTCAGCCTCCCGAGTAGCTGGGACTACAGGCATTCGCCACCATGCCCGGCTAATTTTATATATATATATCAGTTGGCCAATTAATTTCTTTCTATTTATAGTAGAGACAGGGTCTCGCTCTTGCTCAGGCTGGTTTTGAACTCCTGACCTTGAGCAATCCGCCGCCTCGGCCTCTCAAGAGCTAGGATTACAGGCGTGAGCCACCGCGCCCGGCCTAGAAATATTATTTTTTTCCAGCACCTACTGACCCTCACTCTATCAAGTCTCAGATTAAAAATCATAGGCCCAATAAGTTTTCTAGGAAATCCCCCTCCCCCCAATACATGCACACCAGAATGGGTTAGATATCCCTTGTATGGACTCCAATAGCACCTTGGCAAGATGATGAAAAAGCATCAGTCCTGGGCCTCAAAAAGGATAGTATGAGGACGCAGGCAAATAAAAAGAATATTATGTGTAAACTTCTATGTTGTGCAAATGCTTTCTTCCGACTGCAATTTAACCACAAATGAGAACTGTAACCTTGGCATGTCGTTTAAGTTTCAGTTTATGCTTACCTCCTGAACAGTATGAGGATAAGGCTGTAGAACAAATACAACTACTAGAAAGTTTTACAGTACTAATTACGGTAAGAGTTGCTCCAGGAATCAGAGAAGCGATACTCTGGACTTACTATGTATTGCCTATATCAGACCAACGCTAGGTAGACTGGCCAAAGTGGGGACCTTCTAGGCCAATAAGGGGTAATTTTAACTACTAGGAGAGAACTTCTGGCTTTAAGAGCTGTCTAGGAAAGAGAGCCTCCACGCTGTCGCTCAGGCAATAGGGTGAACTTGAGTTTCCAAAACAGGACAAGGGGACCAGCACACATGAGCTGCGGCGTCACCCTTGCGTAGAACTAGCTCGAGCGCCTAGAGCCCGACGGACCACCACATTTGTGCGTCCCTCGGCCAAACGCGAGCCACACTGCGCATGCGCCCAACCGCCTCTTTGCTTACCTTCCTCTGCTGCTGTTTCCATCGCGTGAACATTAAGTGTCGCCGCTGTTTGTTCTTAATCTCCGAAATGCTGAAGCCTGGGGGAAAGGCAGCCATTTTCGGGGGTTGGACCCCGCTTTCTGTCGTCTCATGCTCAGCCACTGCAGCCTCCTGAAGTTCTCCGCTAGCGGCTTTCCGTTTCAGGCTTTTCTTCCCGCTGCCGCCGATCTTCTCCCCGGACTTCGCCATGGTGTTGGCTCCTTGCGTCTGCCCGGAAACGGAAATAACCTTCACCTCTGACTCCTTCCTTAAGCTTTTACTTCCGGGGTCGCGAAGGTCATACGCTGTAGACGGGCGGATTCTTTAGTTTTAGTCAGATAGAAGGAGCTAAAACTGAAGCTTGAGGGAAGTTTAGGTGGCTTGCCCTGTTGTATGAACAGTGAAATGAGTTCTAGGACTCAGCATCTGCTAAGAGCGCAGCCCTCAAAATTATGGAACAAAAGAATTCTTGCCACATTTAGCATACATTTTACTGGAGACAAACCTAAAATGAGCACAAAAATAAATTTTGTGGTGAGCTAAAAAGTGATATATGGTATGGAAAAAATAGAATAGGGTAAAAGAAGATAAAGAGAAGGTAGAGGGTCACATTGCAATTTTAAATAGGATTCTCAGCGTCGGCTTCATTGAAAAAGTTACATTGAGTACACTACATTTGAGGGAGGTAGTGGAGTGAACTGTGCTGTTATCTAAGGGAAGAGCTGTTATTTTGAGAAAAGCTGGATATCTAGGAGAAAAGCCATCCCAGCAAAGGAAAACAACCAGCTCCAAGGCTCCTAGTCAGTAGCAAGCGTGGTATGTTAAAGAAAACACCATGGATGGAGGCCAAGAGTCAGATGAGAAAGGAGAGTAAAGAAGGAAGAGAAGGGTTAAGATTGGATAGGTCGTGTAGGGTTTTGTAGGGCTTTTGTTTTTACTTTATATGAGATATAGATCTCATAGGATTTTGACAAAAAGAATGATATGATCTGTCTTACATTTTTAAAAGCATCACACAGATTTTTCTTTGAGAAGAGACTATGGGAGCTGGGTGTGGAAGGAGAGAAGAAAGAATAGTGGTTTGAACCAGGGTAGGCCTAGTGGAGGCGGTTGGGAAGTGATCTGATTCTTCTGGAAGGTAAAGTTGCTGACCATTGAATAGAGGGCATGAAAAAAAGAGAAGAGTCAAAGATGATTCCAAGACTTTTGACCTGAGTGACTGGAAGGATGGAGTTACCATCAGTTGAAATGGAAAAGACTTCAGGTGAAGCAAATTGAGAGGTAAGATCAAGATTTCAGTTTTGGAAATGTTAAGTTTGAGACACTAGTTAGTGATCTAATTGGTGGTGCCAATTAATCAGTTGGGATGTATTATTCTGCAGCAGGAGACACTTGTGTGGACCAGAAATAAAAACTTGGGAGTCATCAGCATACAGATAGTGTTTCAAACCATTAGAGTGAGTATAGATAGAGAACTGAAAGAGATGAGGACAAAGGCTTGAACCCTGGAGCAGTCTCACATGAAAAGCTAGGGAGAAAAGGAGGACTCAGTAAAGGAGAATGAGAAGAGAAAATCAAGAGAGTAGAGTGTCATGGAAGTCAAGTGAATAAAGTGTTTTCTTACTGGTTAAATTTGCTACATTCTTCCTTTTAATTTTATGAAAATGCCCTCCAAATGGCAACGAAAGAATCATTTTTGGTTTACTGTTAAGAGTCAATTTTCTGGAAAGTGCCTTAATCTCAAATTTCACATCCCAATATCTTCGATAAGTGTTTTGATAACCCAATATTTTAGTATCCATACTTCATTTTTTACCCATTCAGGGTCTGTTTAAGAAGGATATTAAAAGCATCGGAACTGTGTTTTCCAGAATACAAACCTAATCATAACCTGCTATTAAGCCACAAGTCCAAAATTGTTATTAAAAAACTAAAACCATCATGTTTAGATCTAAAATTGGATTTGAATTATACAATAAAAGGAAAAGGAAAAGGTAGCATTGAGCTTTAAAATTCTTAACTGTAGTAAATTATAAAATATCATATACAGTTTATTTAAAAGGGTATAATCAGATCAAAAAGGAGGAGGAGGAAGAGGAGAGGAGGACAAATAAAACTTCACCTGGCCAGGCGTGGTGGCTCATGCCTGTAATCCTAGCACTCTGGGAGGCTGAGGCGGGTAGATTGCTCGAGGTCTGGAGTTAGAAACCAGCCTGAGCAAGAGCAAGACCCCATCTTTGCTATAAATACAGAGAAATTGATTGGCCAACTAATATACAGAAAAAATTAGCCATGCATGGTGGCGCATGCCCGTATTCCCAGCTACTAGGGAGGCTGAGGCAGCAGGATTGCTTGAGCCTAGGAGTTTGAGGTTGCTGTGAGCTAGGCTGACGCCACAGCACTCACTCTAGCCTGGACAACAAAGGGAGATTCTGTCTCAAAAACAAAACAAACAAAAAAACTTCACCTGAAAATTATAGACTGGAAGTCTCTTCTAGCTTTAATATTTTATCTCCCTATGTATAATATATCCTTTCTTCATAAGAACACAAAATAATCCTGACATAGATTTAGATAATTGTCTCAACTTTATTCAGAGGAGCCATACAAATGAGACTATTAGCTGCTTAATATAGAGACTTCCTTTTTTCCCCTTCCATGCGTTGTAATTTGTAATTACATTTGTGTGAATTGAATGAAAGGATTCCTATGATCAGAATAAAATCCTTATTCTAAAGAAGTCACAAAAACATTGATCAATTCAGCAAATACGTATTTAATGCTACTCAATAAATGAATACAGTGGGTTGGTGTGATGGACACATCACGAACATAGGAATCAGATCTGTGTTCAGATCTTGACTTGGTCACTTGAATGCTATAAAATATCAGTTAAATCACATAATATCTGTGAGTCTCAATTTCTTTATCTATAAACTGGGGCCAGTTATACTACCACATAGGTTGTATTGAGAGGAGTGGAGATAACGTTTATTAGAGAACCAGACACATCCAATAAATGCTAACTATTTATTTTCATTACTTCTTGGTATCTGAGACTTTTTTAAATAGTGTGGAGGAAAAGACATCATGTTTACCTTTAAGTAGTGTATAGTTTAGTAGTGTATAGTTCTGAGAAGTGGTAAGTTGCTCAAAGATTAGGTGCAATGTGGACTCTAAAATCATATCAGTGAGCTTTTCATATTGTATTACATTAAAATTGATTGGTCTTTTTTGTTTGTTTGTCTTTAGAGACAGAATCTTAGCCCTGTTGGCCAGGCTGAAGGGCAGTGGTACCATCATAGCAACCTGTAGCCTCAAACTCCTGGGCTCAAGTGATCCTCCTGCCTCAGCCTCCCAAGTAGCTGGGTCTACAGGCACAAGCCACCATGTCCATCTAATTTTCTGATTTTTGTAGAGATGAGATGTCACTATGTTGCCCAGGCTGGTCTTGAACTCCTGTCCTCAAGCGATTCTTCTGTCTCAGCCTTCGAAAGTGCTGAGATTACAGGCTTGAGCCACTGTACTCAACCTATCTTGCATTTTGAATGGATCTTTTACCTGTGCATAATTGCATAATAGCATGCATTCATTGGTCATTTGGAAAATATTTGTCCATTGAGTTTTGCATATCATCTAAAAGTTCACACATTTTATTATACAGTATCAAAAAAATTTTTTAAAAATCACTACTAATCTCATCAGGAAAGTCTTGAAATACTGGTAAACTGTCAAACTTGCAGTGATGGATAAAAGTTTTCCAAAATTCTGGTTTCTGCTTGAATAGGGGCTTCCTTGGCCCCAGGTCACTGATGATGGTACCCACAATGTAATACAGGGTATGGAGGCAGGGGTTTTAGGGAACTGAGGAGTTTGGGTTGGTAAGGTCCTCTTGATGTAAACTTCCCAAGGCTATTTCTCAGGCTAGGCCATCTCTTTGTTACCTTCTTTCATTTTTGGACCCCTGAAGATTGGCTTACCTTTCTATTGCTACCACTAATTAAGAGGAACAGCCTCATCATAAAGCCTTAATATATTATGGGAGTCTGCTTAAGGAGGCAATCAGAGGGGTGCTTTGTAGAGTTCCTTCCATCTACTCACTTGTGCGGAATGGAAGCCACCATCGGGAAAGCCAAAATTTATATACTATTTTTTGCTTCTGGCTAAAGTTTTTCTTCTTTCCTGACCCACTATAGCAAAGAATGTTTTGTCACAGCCTCACCTCTTATCCTTGAGGCAATCAATAAACTCTTCCGTTTTTTCTGAAGTTTCTTCTCCCCCCATAGCAAATGGATGAAATAAAGATAAAAGATTTCTCATTTTTTATCCCTTTATGCTCTAATAGGGATGATAAAGTCATCTATATAATGTTGATCTTTGACTCCACAAAAAAATTGAAAGAAAGTTAAGCTTCATTCAGTAGCTTTCCTAGAACTTCCATTACAAGATCCAGAAGGGCCTCCTTGGGAAGGGAGAGATAAGGAGATGGAAGAGTAGTCTGAAGAACTGAAGATGTTTATGAGATCAGCATTAATCATAGTGATTTAGGGAGAATGCAGAAATGAATTGCACTCTTCCTATTTTTTCCTTATGTCACTTCTACTTACTAGATTGCTTCTAGAGAGAAGAAGCAGAGATTGGGGATAAATAGTGCCTATGACTGAGGCATGCCAGGAAGTTCCAGTGTCCTCCAGGGATCACTAGATGCTAGAATATCTTGTACTTGCTAAAACCTTGCAAAAGGCCTGTAGAGCTACTTGGATTATGATTTATGGAGGTACAGCAATGGCATCATCTGGAAACTTAGCAGAAATGCAGAATTTTGATGCTCACTCCCAGACCAACTGAAAGACCCCGATGTGGCTCGTGAACACGTTAAAATTTGAGAAGCACTATTGAAGAAGATGTGTGTTATATCTCTTAACCCCATTGATTTCTATCTAACAATCAGAAGCCTTGTTTCAGGCCAAATATTCATGATTGATTTTAAACTACAGTTATTTTATCATTGTTAAAGATAATATTTTATTATTTTAAATATGATTGCATTGCCTGAAGGGAAGCTATCTTAAAACAAACATATTAATATTTGTTTTATTTTCTACCTTAATCCTTGTGTAGACTTGGAATGAGATTTTACAGATCCCTTATCTAACTAGTAAACAACATACCCATCAATCCAGAGACCTATGATTATACCTTGTCAGAACAAATGACTGTACTTTTCTTTCGGTCAATTATTCATGAAGGTTAATTTAGG